CTCGCTGGGGCCCCGGCCAAAGCAAAGCTGGCTGCACACACCGTTCGGTTACATAAACACCAATCATTGCTTGGCTTATTGTTCCGGTCCCCCCTGGCTGCGACTGCCGTGGGCCCAAGCGAAAACAAGCTTCACAGTACGCCATAACCTGTGCTCCCCTCAGTGTCGCGTGGTCGTCGGTATCCTCATTGGTCCCTCTTCTTGGTGATCTGGGTCGTGTAGCGAAGCTAGGCGTGGGCCTTGTTGTTGGATCGCCCGAGGTTCCCCAGCGTGTCGAAGGTGGGATTCGGAGCTCCCTTGCTCGTCGTTGGTTTGGTCTGGGGATGAGCCGTAGTCCTAGTTATTCCCATTCGCTCGGTTGTAGCGTGGAAGTTACGTCTAGCACGCACCCACATGCACATGAGCCAGTGTTCGGGACGACCATTTTCATTGTTCCCCAAGGAAAAAAAAAACGTGCCACGTTGACGCTCATGTGGCTCCCTCCTCTCTCCGCTGTTGCTTCGCTCTCATGAATGCCTGACTTGGGGGTGGTGCAGCACTCCAGTAGGAGGGCACGCATGCGCACATAGACCCCGCGGCGCCCATTGGTCCGCCGCCCCCGACGACAAGAGGACGTAGCTGCAGGCGCCATCCCAGCGTCTCACTTCCTCCTGCTCTCGGGCTGCAACTTCTGCGCTGCCTGGGTTGTGTCTGCGGCGTGGGTCTGCTGGTTGCCACCCTGCTGCTGGCTGCGCCTTTCGTTGAGGTTGTTGCGTGAGCTAGGTATGCATGCAAGGCAGAAAGGTAGGAATACCCCCACCGGAAACTCGCAGGATACACGGGCGTGAGTGGTTGGAACACAAGCGTGCGCATGCTTTCACCAGACGGGCGCACGCGCTTCAACATGTTAGCAACCGCAGTGTCACGGACCAATCGCTCGCGCTGTTCAGGATTGGCGGGGTCATCACAAGCTTGATGAGGGCTGGGCTTTTCGCGCAGGAACTCGTCGTAATGCCCCTTCGTGCATGTCACTCTCAACATGCTGCACCGGTGCGAAGCAAGACAATTGTGAGGTGTCATGCGCTTCACGTGGGACCGGTTGGCGGGCAGCTGGATGGAGCTGGGTGTGTTGGGAACGCGCAAGCTGCACTTGGACAACCAAGCGTTGTCTTGCGAAGGCGAAATCACATTGTTCAAGATAGCGGCGAATGAGATTCTCGGGGGCATGATGAGCCCGAACAGCCTGCGCCGCCAGCTCATCGGCCGCAGCGTTTCCGGCATAGTCCAGAGGGGAGATGCACCCAGGCGCGATCGCTGATCGGTGCTAATGGGAGTTAACGTGCCTAACTCTGACACAAGCTGGGCCAGGCCGGCAAATGTCTCGCCAGATGCAATCCCGCACATCCGCATGAGACTCTAGCGTCCACGCAGGTTGTTGGTTGAGAGGGAGACCAGGTATGCACCTTTCTAGGAGGATCGTAAGACCGTTGCACAGCAGACGCGAGTCCGTTATGATCACGACCGGGTGGTCAATGACAAGTAAAGCATACAGTCCTGCCTCGAGCTCGGCCCGTTGGTTGGACTGACTGGGACCTTTAAGCGGGAAGGAGGCATTTACTGGGCGCTGGGCAGCGAAGTAAACTCCAGCCTTTGAGAGGGCAACATGAGGTTTGTCAGTGCGTTCACAACCTCCATCCGTCCAAACTGACACCGTCTCGCCCTTAGTGGTGGATGATAGCATGAAGGAATCAGTGCTTGCATGATGTTCCTGGCTAAGGCTTGCACGCATTGCAGCTGCGACAATGGGAGCCGTCACCTGGGTCTCTCCAAGCGTTAACCTCCACTGAAGAAGATCCTGATTTTCAGGCTGAACCACGAGACGGCTTTGTGCAGAAGGCCAGCCATCGGCAAGCTGCTCAACGGGCCCCGCCTCACTGCGAAAACGATTTCGAACCTGTTGCTGACTGCGGCGGGTCCACATCATGTGGGTGCGAGTTTCAATGTCACCGCATAGCCACAATCGACCACAGGGCAACATGGCGCCTGCAAGTACAGTTTTCAAAAACCCACGCTTTTATGGGGTGAGCAGCTTGGATTTTAGCAGCCGTAAAGAAGCCCAGGTATCGATGACTTTGGCAAGGTCAACATACTTAGGAATCCGCATGGCCAATGTGGACCACATGTGCCGCCTAGCAGCTCCACGCACCTCATGCTCCACAAACTTTTGTCAACATGCAGAATGCTGGGATGAAGCCGCCAATCAGTGCATACGACGAAAGCCTCTGGCCACGTCCATCCGATGGCTTTGACAACTCGTAGGAGGTTTGCAACAAATCCGAATCGGGTAGGTTGCAGGCTGGAATCATCATCCCGGACCGCCGTCCAAGCCCTGACAAAGTGGTCACGCAGCTCGGGGTACCTTAGCATGAGTCTGCGAAAACATGCCAGCGATTCATTGATGCAGACCATGCGTGGGTGAACCTTCCACCCAAGCCAGTGTGAAAAGGCACTCCTCAAGCGGCGGACATGGACTGCGTCGCCACACGGCCCGCTTAACAGCTAGCGTGAGTGAGGCAACCATTGCGGTGGAAGCCGGGCCAAACTCTAGACCATAACGGTACTTGGAAGTTGCAGCTGTAGCACACACATCAACCCTGCCATCGACCGGGATCGGGACATGCGTGACACGCTCCGCAGTGTGTGCTGCATGCAGTGCACGAGAGTTTTGAAGTTGATAGCTCCTTTGCTTTTGGAAGGAAATGGATTCGCCTAGAAGCTCAAGGGACGAAACCACCGGCAGCGACGGAGCCTCGACTCGGCTGAACAACGATGGGTGGCTCAGCGGTGAGTTTGCGCTTGAATGTACGCCGGAAGCTTGAACCTGAAACCGTCCGATTCAATGTGGATGAATCTGAACCCGACTGCCCGCGATTGCTTTGCACAGTGCAAGCAACCTCCAATGTTCAGCACAGCTCGACTATGATCCGAATCGAGCCAAAACTCTCAAGTGAGTACCATGAGGTAGTTGACTGTTGTTCGAATGTTTATTGATCGCTTCACGAATGCTGCCGTGTAGTCGTGTAACGGTTAATTGTTTGAATGATCCTCGACTGAAGTCAGGATCAAGGGAAGGTGTTAAATGACGCTACCCGTAGAATGCTCCCAACGAACACGATGCTTTCTCGAATGCTACGATGCCGAATGGCATTGGCTCAAGACTGCTCAAGTACTGGCTTGGTTGCACAAAGGAATGCTTGCTTGACTGTGTGTGTGTGTTACCTGGGGAAAGTGAATGATCTTGGTTGCTCGGGGTTGTGAGGATTGTACCCTTGAATTTTGCATGCCGGGCCTATGGGAGTTAGGGCGCGAAACCCCTCCGCCCTGCTCGCTCTTTCTTCTTCTTCATCTCAGACAAAGGAAAAGCTTGCAGGCCCTCCCTCGCGCACGAATGCGCACTGATCGCATGTCTGGGTGTGCTCGCTCTTGCTCGCTCTCTCTCTCTCTCTCTCTCTCTGTGCGGCCTTCGGAGCGCCGAAACTCTGTTCGATGACAACGTTGCGGCCCTGGCAATCAACAGGATATGCACAGAGACCTGATGGTTTACCGGTTTACCGTCTGCAATCTACAAGCCTTTATGCAACATCTTCCCAAGTTGTCTGCAACATCCATGTGCCATGCATCGGTCGTCGGCCACCTTGGGGCCGAGTGTAACTGCTACGGCATCGGCCAGCCGGTTGGCTCCTGTCACACAGGTGCAGACAAGTTGATAAAATCGTTCAAAGCCGTTGCAAATGCAGTCCCACCGTGGAGCATGGCGGCTCTGGCACTGGTCCCATGTCTGATGTCCTTCGGCTCCCAACTCTTCACAGTGATCGCTTGACGGCTCCAGATCCTTGGAAGCGAATCCACGAACACCTCGCCGGGCCTTAGCTGATAGAGTATTTTTCCATGCAATCCACGAAACATCTGCACAGCGGTGGAGGCCCACACAGCCACAGACAGGCCGGAGACCCGCATCGTGGAAAGCATTCTCCTGCACGACATTTCACGATACGGAGTCATCGTAGTTTGTCAACACCTGGCCTTCAGGCCGCACAACTCGCCGCCAAGTAATGAGGGACACTAGTCCCCGAGACAAAATTGGCTGAAACGGCGACAGTTGATTGTCGTCCAAAACGCACGATGCACTGCAATGCACTGCCCTGCACCTAGCTAAACGAGCCTGGATCCGTCAACATAACCCTCAAGTTCCAGATATTGGATTGCGCTTCTGCCCGTCTGGTATCAGAATGCTCTGTTTCTATCACCTAGATGCTCACTACCATTGCAAGCACTGGCAATCGCTTCTCGCTGACATTGCTGTCAGGAGAGGCCAGGTAAGGTCCATGGTGTCCGGACAAATCCAACATCCAATCCCTCTTGAGGACGGCATGCTGCTCCTGTGGACTCTCTCTGCACTGTCCACTTGCTTGCGGCGGAGACGGAGCGATGATCTGCGAGCTCTCGTCGTGGGACTCCCTCCCCCTGTTTGCGTGCAAATGTTTGCTTGCTCTGAGACGCCCCTCAGTCTGAGGCACAAATGACTCTGTTCAGCCTCCTGGGTGTCTATGGCCTGGCATGGACTGACCAAGTAGTCTCGCGCTCGCTTCGATGACTTCCCAGGGGGCGGCTTCTCGATTCAGCTTTGCGGCATGACCATGCATTACCATCGCGGCAATTGCCATGTCTCTGCGAAGCATTGAAAATTGACATGAAATCTTCACAGCTGCCAAAAAAATAACCTTGGCAAGCTGTGCGGACCAGCTCGATCCCTTTGTTTCCTCACTGGAGGCCATGGATTCTGCACAATGCCGTTGTTGCCAGTTGTGTCTGCTGCTGCCACCGCTGGGTGGCAAAATAACAACTTCGGAATGCTCGCACAGACATCGTTTGGGCCCAAACTGGAGGTGAGTCGAAAATCAAGACATTCAACGAGGGCCACATGAGCTTATGTGACTTATGTTTTGGAGCTCGGACTGAGCTCAGGGAACCGCCTCGTGCTTCAGGAAGTTTCGGTAGTTGAGCTCGGGGTATCTCTCCATCCTGGGCCGTTGGCAATTGAAGTATCAAAAACAGACATGCGTGGACCTGTTGCTTGAGCTGGTGAATGATATTCAAGAAGGCCGCGGCATGACTTGGAGCATTGCACGGCTTCGAAGATCCCTTTCCTGAAAATGAATTGGAAGCAAGAATGTTGCTACTGTTCCAGACCACATTCTGCCTCGAGGACACGATCCGTCAGCCGATCAGCCATCCACTGAAGGGGATCCATCAATGGCATAACCTGGACAGTCTGCTTCTGGCTGAGTGACTTGAAAGCTGTCCGGCTGTCCTGGTAATCCTTGAGCTTCGCCCTGTACGGGAGCAAGGCCCTGCCAGCCATATGCTTTGAGATGCATGCAAAAACAACACTCCGAGAACCCGGCATGTGCTGTGCCGTCACGACGGCCGCCACGAGTTCCTGGCATATGTGCTCGTGTGCAGGATGACCGTCTCCGATGTCTTTGTCAAAGTTTACGAGGCTATGCGTCATGCCGTCAGAACCCACCCCACAGCGTTGGACAGTGAGTGTGTTCTAGCACCGCTGCGGCTCTGCAGTTGAGCAGGTTCATGCTGAAGACGGGGACCGTTTTTCCATCAAGGCTTGATTCTAGTCTGAAAAAACATATCGGCACCCAAGCTTCCATTTAGGATCGTTGGAGGCATTCTGACCGCGAGGACTTCCTGTTAAGGACTGAGCTGGACAGGGAGCGATCCATGCGACTTCGGTCCTGCTCACGAATGTTGACACAAGCGGCAACATGCACGTCGCAGCAGGCATGCCGAAAAGTGCTTCAGAGGCACCCGTTCTGCATGCAATCACGTGACTTCATACTAAGATCAATGGGCAAGTCCGCGGGAACCCTGATGCCATTGCAGCCTTCTGCTTCTTCCGAGACAGCATGGTCGTCCGTCGTGGCAGGATGTACCTCAACGGTTTGAAAGATGAGCCTGCATTGGCAGGAATAGCGCTTTGCGTTGGCACACCCGTTGTCAGCCAAGAAGTGCTGGATGATATCGAGGTCACGAAATGTAATCTTTTCTTTTGCAAGCTGAGCCTGACAGCAGCGTGATGCGCTGCCCATGTAAGTTGGGGGGTCAATGCCTGCAGCGGCGTTGGCTCCCAGAAAGTGTCGGGCAGTCGAAACGGCTTCGGCGGCATCTCCGGCATCTGACGCAACGGCGCATAGAGCAGCTGAGCTGTGCCACTCAGTCTGCTGGCCTCACGCTTGTGGTAGCTGCGGAAAGAGGAGGTGTAGGGATTCCGAACGGAGGCCATCCTGAGCCGAATGCGGAAGAGTGCGAGCACGCAGTAGTGCTCCCCCCGTTTTCCCGCAATTCCCCGCCTGGCCAAGCTTCTTTTGATCTGGATCCGAGTCTGCGGACAGCGGCTTCCAAACACGCAGATCGAACAGCGACTGCATCCACCCCAACTATCAACTTCCAAAGGCCGCACCCGCTTGGCTTCAGCAGCACCCACAATTTTTTGGTACTCGTCGAACTCCGCCGTGACCTCCACACAGCGGCTTGACCCAGGACATCGCTCCGATCCAGGCAGTCCTGGCCTGCTGTTTCAGATCTTGCACTTGGTGAAACGGGCTCCAGTACGGATCGATGTTGTGCTTAATCTCATACCTCAGGGGAACTGGCAATGTTGCGCTTGACTCTCAGCCGAAGGGACACACACGAACATGAGGTGTTAGGATCGCACTTTTTGGAGTCGGACGTGACATCTCGCTCTGCATCCACTCGTGCGAAGATCTGCAAACGACCACGGCAGGGTTCACACTTCAGTGGTTTTCCTCTCGAACGCAGAAACAGGCAGAGCCTTCCTTGTGAGCTCGATTTCGTCTTGCTTGAGTTTGGCTATGGGAAGGGTGTCCTCGGGACATGTGGAACCCTTCCCTGCATCTGTCAGCATGGATGCCAATTAAAGTTTCGCAGAGCACACCGAAAGACCTGAGTCCCTTCGCAAGCTGGCGGAAGCCAGGATCAGACTCTGCGGACAGCGCAGCCCTTCTTGCCCGGACCTCAATAGACTGTGCTGACGTTCTCCCTTCGGAAGCCGCAAGCATTGAGGCCATCTGCTCCGTTCACCAACTCCTGGGCACAGGCTGCACAGCCACTCGCGTCCACGGGAGCTCCTGACCGGCTCCCTGCCTGCACCAATGAGTCTGAAGTGCCGCGGTGGCTGACCTTTGCAACTTCATATCAGCGGCACTAAGCATCTTCCGAACTCAACGATCTTTCGGTCGAAGAGACCCGGTTGCATCGTGACGTCTCTCAGCGTGTCTCAGGATTCTGATTGCAAGAAGATCAACTGACAAAATCTCCTTCACGGTCCAATACGTGGTCTGAGAGTATCGAGGATGCCCGCCTTCGCCTCCTGCATCTCAAGCCGAATTTGGTTTCCGCGGCCCTGTCAGGGCAGGCTCAGCAGAAGCGCACCAGGGCACCACGCCGAGCTTCTATACCCTGTCTGCCAGGCAAGGCTGCTTGCAAAAGCCCCAGGTTCCGCGGCTGAGCTCCGGGCTGGCACCGAAGAGAATCTCCATCTGGAAGCCCTCCCGCTCCTCACACAACGAGCCGACGCCGAAACGCCGAGACGAGGCCGAGGAAGCGAGGAAGTGACACTGCGAGGCACTGTGCCCTTTTCAACATTGCAAAGGCGATGGCTCCCCGCTTCGAGGAGCTCAGAAAGCGACGGGTTCAGGACATGTAGATGTGCCAGCATTACGCCTGGCATATACACAGCAAGGCGCCGGCCCAAGTTGCAGCGTGAGTTTCGGCCGCTGGTACACCGGGGCAGCTTCAAACGGAGATTGCAGCGAGCTTCTCTCGCCAACGCACACCATTCATGTGAGGAGCTACTTCCTCCTCTTCTTGGAACTCCTCGAGACATCACAAGAATCAACAGTCCACGTTGCGACAGCTTTCGGAGCGGGCCTTGTGTCGAGCCGGCAGCGAGACTGCGATCGGCTGCACTGGATCGCTCCAGGGATGAGAAGGGTCCTGGCCTTGGAAACTGCCAGCGCCTAGACATGCCATGACATGCCTAGACTCCTAGACAAGCTAGGTTGACAGATAACATCAGAAACAGCTGGCACAATAAAGATGACACCCAAGGCGAATGGAAGGAAGGATGCCAACTGCACTGACGAGGACCATACGGTGGCAAATCCGAATTTCTGCAACTTGGAAGCACGCCCTTCGGTTCGCGCAGGTGCAATGTGTCCAAGTCATAGCCAACCTCTGGAACTCACACCGTCCAGCAAACATTCACCAATGCCAGATGGGACTGCTATAGGCAACCTGGCCCTGCAGGGCTAATTATGCAGAAATGTAAGCCGATCGCCCCTGGTCAGCCCCAAGACGAGTCGAAAGGACGTCTCTCGGCTTGTAAACCCAAGCGAGATGCGAGGCAAGCCAAATTGCAGTCCAGCTTCAGTTCCGCAGTCTTGAAACTTATTGGCTTGCGAAAGATGCGCTACAAAGTACATGCTTGAAGGTAAAATACCACCATCCCGCCCCGCCCCCCGATCAAAGCTAGAGGCGGAACGCCGACTCGTCTTGCTGCGAACATCATGTAACGAAGATGATAAGAGCGACTGGGAGGTGAGCCGTGCGACATTAAGTTCATACTTAATATTCCAGGGACTCTCCCTGTCTTCTTCTTCTTCTCCTTCTCCGGGGTTCAGGGAGCGAGTAAAGCTCCCCGCCGGATGGCGCGCCCCTGTTGTGGGGCCTTGTGGTGGTGTCGGCAAAAAGACCTCTCTCTCTCACACTGCAAATCACCACCCAAACGCAGAACGGCTGCCATGGAGTTGAACATCATCTCCTAACGTGCCTTTCTTGGTCTACCTTTGCGTGGAATCATTGGGAATCATCAAAAAGTTTTTTGTGAGAAATCTGTGAGAAACCTGTGAGCGGGTTGAGTGAGAAACTTGTGAGAAACCTGCGAGAAATGAAAACCGGTGGCCCAGCGTCTGTGAGAGAAGCTGTGAGAAACCTGTGAGAAAGCTGTGAGGGAAGGTTCCACGGTCCCCCGATCACAAGTCTAGTTGAAACAAGAACAGGCTTCGATGAACATGACGATTAAGATGATCTTTGATTCATCGAATCCCGGGAGTGGTGGGTTGCCACTCTAGCTGCCAGACTTCCTGGAATGGTCGGTGTTGGAGACACCTGTTACTTCTGGGTTGCTTCACATTGGACATGGAAATTGCCTTTCTGTCGACTGTCGCCTCCATGTTCCTGACATCTGCCTCCCTCTGGCTGACCAGTTACTGCTACGAGTTCCAACGCTTTCCAGGTCTGTCGATCCATTTCCCAGTTGCATCCGGGCTCGCATGCGCCGATGTCGTCAATTCAGCAAACAGAATCGAATCGGTATGCCAGCACGCCTGGACACTCTCTGCGGCTTCATGCTGGTCAACACTGGCACGGCTGCAGCAGCCGATGGACGGCCACAGGCTGGATGCCGCATGGCCTGCGTTCTTGGGCTTCCGTGGCAAAGCAAGTCATCTCCGTGCTCGGGTAGCAAGACTAGTGACTAGTTGACTCTGGTTGACTAGTTGCAAATCGAGGTTTGCCAGCAAGGCTACGTGCTGTGGACTTGGTTTGTGACTGCTGGTGAATGGTAGGAGCAGCCCCGAAGCACCAGTCTCAAGTGAATCGACGCCCGTCAAAAAAGAAGCAAGCGAACCACAGACGAGGCCTGACCCGCAACATGGCACAGAGGCCGATGGCATGTTGCCTCGCTCTCTGAACGAGACAGGGCCTAGACCGAGACATGAGTGCAGTTCACATGCAGGCAAGTCGCCGGCCAATGGTCTTGCTGTAAACTGACCCAACTGAAGGAGAGCTTTGCCTTCACGTTGAAAGAATGACCAAGCAGGTCTGGATGTCGCACGCTCCGCGTCAAAGGCCCATTGCGGCACCTGTAAGTCATGGAAGACGTAGTCCGGAAGCGAGAAGAAGTGGGTTGCAGGCAATATCAGATAGCTCACATCGTTCATTAAGTTTGTGTTATGCGATAGTGCTGCCGGCGAGACAAGCAATTTCCGCGTGTTGATCGCAGCGTACAGCAGTTCGGCGTGGTGGAACCCAATCATGTTATCTGCTTTGCCATGAATGAGCAAGACCGGGCACTTGATTCTCGAAGCCAGGCCAATGTTCGGATACCACTCTTCAAAAAAACTCGACAACGGGCCCACCCTGTCCTTAAAGAGGTCAGCGACCGAAAGGAAGGGGGTGACCAGGATTACTCCAGCAAAACCAAAAAGTGAGGCCAGCTTCACCGCAGGCCCTGTACCGATTGACCGGCCAAAAGTCAAAATGCTGTCCAAAGGCCAATGCAAGCTTTGTGTCGCAAAATGCAAAGCAGAAAACGAATTCTCCATCACTGTCTTGCCAGTGGCCACACCCGGGCATAGACCATAGCCTGGATATTCCACGGCCAGCACATGGACCTGGAATTTCTCTCGCAATAGGCGACAAAATGAGTAGCATCTGCCCAAATCCTCCGCATTGCTGTGAAAGAAGAGGACCAGGTATCTGCTGTAAGGGTACGTCAACAACAAGCATGGCACGCTGTCAACTCCGACCGGTGGAATGTCACCGTCCAACGAGCTTCTTTTTGGAATCCATACGAGCTCGTTAGGAAAACTGTCCGAGGAATAACTCGGCTCTGGAGCTGGATAAAGAATCCGCGTCAAGAGTCCACGTTCGAGCATGTTGCACGTGCGGCAAGTCTGCCAAACAGAAGCGTGAATCTTCCATGGCAGCACAACCAAATGAGAGCAAATGCAAGTTCAGCATTGAAAGGTACTGCTCGACAACAGCTTGCTTGCAACAACCAAGGACACCCAGAGTAACCAAAAGTGCGCCTAAGACTGATGACAGGTTCATGGACCCAGGCTTTGATCGTACATGCGGTGTCCAGGACTGTCTCGACAGAACAGAACACGCCTCACAGACAAACAGTAGCAAAATGCCATAAACTTGAACTTGCCTCAGGCTTGGAACCAGCCGCCGCTCAGCTGCCCTGCGACATGTCACAGGACAACAACCATGTCAGCACTGTGTTGGGAACCCCGGTCTTCTCCCTGCCTTCGTGCCGACCACATGGAAGAGCCAGGTCATGGATGCCGACAGGGAGAAAGGCTCTTGTGTGCAATGTTGCGCACGCTTGGATTGGAATTGAAGCCGTGACAGGTGCACCTGCATATATGCGACCGGCTGGTGCCCTGGAGTCCATGAAATGTTGATGTAGCACGATATCGTTGCGAAAGACGGACCACAAAAAACACCCGCCCCCGCAAGCTGGGCGCATCTAGGCTCGAGCACCAGCGAAGGGCTTTTCACTACCTTCTTCGAAACCCGATTGATCTCCCTCTCAGTCCTCTCCTCCCTCTCATTCTGTTTTGGAGGCCCCCCCTGGTGTCGTACATTAACTCTCCGGTGTCTCCCAAGGAAAAGCAAAGGTGTGATGGCGGGTCTGCGCCAGGCTCAGAATTTTTGCCGTTCGTCATCTTTACATACACAATTACATATAAATGGAGATGCATTTTGGCAAAAAACCCTAAGCCCAGAAGCCCGCAACCCAGAAACCCTAAACCCAGAAACCGTTACCCCTAAACCCCGTAAGGCCTACGTCCAGCAGCCCCAACCCGAAAGTAGCAAACCCAGAACCCCTGCACCCCTAAGCACAGAAGTCCGCAACCCAGAAACCCTAAACCCTCAAACCCAGAACCCCTAAAATCGTAAAACCCCTCAAGCCCTCAACCCAGAAGCCCGAAACCCCTTAAGCCCAGAAGCCTGCAATTCCGCGAACAGTAGGCCATGGAAAATGCAACATTTAGGGCCTCCACTCCAGTGTCTAAGCACTTTGCAGCTTTGTATGGAAAGTCGCGGGAAGGGCTGCTAGCCATGACCTTGCGATCTCACGGCAACCGCAAGCCTTCGCAGGCAGCGGTCCTCAAACCCGCGACAAGGCACAAGACAGCCACTGCCTCTTCTTTCTTTCTCTTGTCTTTTTCTGGGAATAATGATCTTAGTCTTGCGATTTTGATGGTCATTATTCTTGTAGAAACCTTATGTTTAAACGACCTCTCTGTCATACATTTTCCCGGCCCGAAAATGTAGTACGGTGAATCGCCCCCCCCCCCCCCATGAGATGTAACCTGGCGTGTATCCCCTCGCAGAGCGTACAGGAACACAGGCAAACGCAGGTGTCTCTTTCTAATACAGGCGCACAGCTGTAGATCAGTACTCTGCTAGAACATTGAGCAACAGGCATGGATACGTGCAAATGACACGAGAATCAGACAGGCACCTGGATGTGCAACATTCGGTAACCAGGCACCAATTTAGAAACAGCTAGAACTGCATGGCCGTGAAGAGCAAGTGTAGATGGTAGCGCGGTGACTACTACTACTACTACTACTACTACTACTACTGCTACTACTACTACTGCTACTGCTACTACTACTACTACTACTACTACTACTACTACTACTACTAGTACTACTACTGCGACTACGGTTGATGGAGGAAATCTTGCACAGCCTATTTAATAGCAAGTGACACGACACCTGAGCATAACCCCGCACCCCCTTTTTAATATTGACGACGTGGTGCAAGATTTCTGTCATTGGAACCCGCGGAGCTTCGGAGGATCCAGATTCAATATTAAAATGGGGGCGCGGGGTCTCTGCCGTGCTCGGCCACTTAAAATGGTGCAAGATTTCCTCCATCACCACTACTACTACTACTACTACTACTACTACTACTACTACTGGTGCTGGAGCTGGAGCTGGAGCTGGAGCTGGAGCTGGAGCTGGTGCTGGTGCTGGTGCTGGTGCTGGTGCTGGTGCTGGTGCTGGTGCTGGTGCTGGTGCTGGTGCTGGTGACTGCACAGGTTACGACAATTCGTGGGTAGCTGTCATCGTTTGCTAGACAAGGGCAGGTTCGGAAAAGCAGGGCATGATAATGGTATACCGCACTTCAATTTATGCGATATAACAGCAAGGTCAATAGCGGACGTATGAGTACGAGATAATACGAGCAACACAGTAATTACAGAAATGAATGACGGAAGCCAGCAACCGAAAGCGGTTGGACCATAGAGAACGCAAGAAACCAGGAATAGCGGAGACAGGAAGAGGAACAGGCTGATGCTTTGGGACAGATGGAGCAGGAGATAGGACAGAGGGACAGAGGGACAGCGGGACAGACGGGCACAGGGCGAGAAGGGCGAGAAGGGCGAGAGGGGCAGGGGGAGAAGAGGAACAAGGGGATAAAGAGAAAAGGGTCAGGCCACCAAAACAGCCGTGAAACAGTGGCACGCAGGCTTGGAAGGACTTGCAGGCACACTGAAGTGTAGTCTGCACTACTTTTGGCCCAAGGACTGCGAGGTAACGGAACCAAGTTGAGAGTCGTTCTGCATTTTCTGGCTCTTAATCACGGGATGGCTTTAGAATGAGCCCCGTGCGATCACAGATTTTCCGCTTCAGTGCTAGCCTGCAGGTCAAACCCGAATCATGTGTGAGCGTAGCATGCGCGCCCCTTTTGCTTCGCAACCTTCACATGAGATCCGCCATCTACACCGACTGCAGCTACCACGGGGACAGACTTGCGACGCTACGTCCACTAAGCTTTCGGGACGTCGAGCTTCTGAGGTCCGCCCTCTATGGCAGATTCTTGATGCCTTTCGTGTCCAAGGTCTCCTTCATGATCCTCACCTACAGCTGGGGATGCTGTCACCGGAGCTCATGAGAGAAGAGCAGGAAAAGTGATATCGGATTTGGTCAGCTGTTGTCGAGAATAATGAGCCTCTGTCTATTGGCGACCTTGTCGCAAAATGACATAGAATCGAAAGTCTGACGCTAGCAACTAAGCAAATAGAGACATGGATGAAGTTCATTCAGCAACATCCTTTTCCATACATTTCGCTGATGTTGAGTATACGCCGGCTGTCAGCAAGCGATGTCACACTTCACTCCGTAGCTTCCCACCGTTCGTTCGGCCGAGAACAGGCGAGCCCGACCACACGGCAGACCGAATCTGATCCACTGTGAGGCGATACTAAATTATGTTACGAGTACCAGGCCTCTGCGTAGCCGTAGCCGTCACGTGCAGTCTCTGACCCATCACTACGGCGTACCATCTGTTCCCTCTCAAGTCCAGTCAGTGCTCGCTGGAATACAGCGGCTTCAAGGCTAGAACACGGACTGACCGTCTCACCTGCTCCTGCAACTCGCTGACTTGTGCTTTCAATGCCAGCACCTGCCGAAATGAAACTGCGCACGCCAACCCGATTTCAGCGCGGGTGTCTCGCGCCTCTGTCTTCTCAGAGTTCTCTCTGACAACAGCACGTGTTGCTTGGACTGCTTCCAGGGTTTCGCCAAGCCTTGTGCGGACCATCTTGAACCAACATTGGGAAACTCTGGTCTACATGCAGTCTCTGTTCTTTTGAAAGCATCGAGACGGTGCTTAGTGGCAAACCTCTTCATCTCTCCACGCACGGCAGTCAACTCGTCCTGCATTGCCTTCATGCACCTGTCATGCTCCGAAAACCGCATAGCCTGCATGATACTTCAGTCTCTCAATACGCCAGAAAAGCTGTTGAAAAAGTGACGGAATGTGGCTCGAGCGCAAGTCCTGGACTTCTCGTCGAAGCACCTCCGAAAACCCGGTAGCAACAATTCTCAGCTGCTGCTGACAGATCCAACAATGCAGCTTTGACTAGTGTTGTCTGACTAGCGACACTGCCATCGTGACATGTCGCGACGGCCCACCCGGAAGGCAGGAAAGAAGCTTCGTACCTGCAGCTCCTCCTTCTGATCCAACTCACGCCTCAGCAGTTGCAGGATCGCCTTCAGAGTGGACATGAGCCAGCAGCCTGCAGTAAGACTCCAGACCGGTGCCCGTTATTCTCTTCTGGTAAACTCCCAGGTGGTTCTTGGACTTCATGCCGACGTTGCTGCCTTATATATAGTTTAAGACAGCTGCACACCTGTCTCACAAACTTGGGCCCCAGCACATCAACCTGGATTGGGCTTCAACTAAGGAAGGTTCTGCACAAGCCGGATGTCATTCTCTAAGCTACGGCACTACAGCACACAGACACAAAAAGCCAAAATAAGACAGGATGATTGCACCAACTCCCGCCTGGCCAAGGGTCTGCAATGGAGGCATGGCACCAGCACTCCGGACCTGCCTGCCGAAACCGAGGTACCGACACCGGATGACATGCAGAAGTACCGCAGCTCTAATCATCGAGTCGAGGTCCACATGCTACTAGCATCAACTTCCAACATGTCCCGGCCCCGGCCCGGCCACGGCCCGCCCGGAGGCCTGGAGCTGCCGAGCTGCTTTCCATTCGGACTCTCCACGCCCGTGGTCTGCATGGAACCTTGGTGCAGTCGCGTCTCACGTCTCCTTCTAGCCTCGGCACTCTTCACAAGTTTCAGCAGGTGTCTGAACGCTTCCAAGCAGCAAGTTGAGGAGCCCTCCGCGGGCTCCAGCGGAGGCAGCTCCTCGTCTTGCACCACCATGTCGGGAGACGTGCTGCCGTCTGCGGACTTCCCGATGCTCGCGACAGTCTTCCGGCCCTTTGAAAGCATTGACTCGCCGGCATCCTTCCTCGAAGCACTGTTGCAAGTTTCAACTCGGCCCTCGCGATTCTCTGAGGCCAGCTTCTCCAAATTGTCAGGTTTCACTGCCAGCAGTTGACCAGAATCTAACTTCACAGGAAGTCGTCCTTTGGTTGCTCGGTCGAAGCTCTGGAGCTGTCCTGTTTGTCCATCCAAGCCAGCCTTGGAAAGCCCTTTGAGTCGGACCCTATCGCCTTCTAGGAGCGACAATCCCGCCGACAAATCCTGCCCAACATACTCCAAGGGCGGCATATCATCAACATCTTCTTGCTCTTGCTCTCGCTGACCAACGGGGATTGCTGAGCCTCTGGCCGGAGGTGCAGAACCTACATACTCCAAAGGCGGCATGTCGGAATCAGCAGCCTCTTGCCGCACATCAACAGAACTGCCATTGCTTTCGGGGTCCAACTTGCGCAGATTCTCGGGCTTGATTGAAACACGCTCCCCTGAATCTAGCTTCACAGCCAGCCTGCCTTGTCTTGACTGCTCAAAACTTTGCAAAGTGCCTTTCTGGCCGTTCAGCTCTTTCTTGGACAACCCTTGCAGCGTAACTCTGTCACCCTCGCGCAGAGGTACCTCAACAGGGGCACTTGCACCCACATACTCCAGTGGAGGCATGTCATCCTCCTCGTCAGGCTTCAATGCGGGAGACCTGCTGGATGCAGCGGGCGTGTTGCCCACGTACTCTAACGGAGGCATGTCGTCCTCGTCATCAGCCTCTTGACGACCGCTTTGCGTGGTATTGTTGTCCGGCGAATGGCACTTGCTCGAGACGCCATTGACAGCAGTGCCACCTACATACTCCAAAGGCGGCATGTCGGAATCAGCAACCTCTTGCCGCACATCAACAAAACTGCCATTGCTTTCGGGGTCCAACTTGCACAGATTCTCCGGCTTGATTGACACACGCTCCCCTGAATCTAGCTTCACAGCCAGCCTGCCTTGTCTTGACTGCTCAAAACTTTGCAAAGTGCCTTTCTGGCCGTTCAGCTCTTTCTTGGACAACCCTTGCAGCGTAACTCTTTCACCCTCGCGCAGAGGTACCTCAACAGGGGCACTTGCACCCACATACTCCAGTGGAGGCATGTCATCCTCCTCGTCAGACTTCAATGCGGGAGACCTGCTGGATGCAGCTGGCGTGTTGCCCACGTACTCTAACGGCGGCATGTCGTCCTCGTCATCAGCCTCTTGACGACCGCTTTGCGTGGTATTGTTGTCCGGCGAATGGCACTTGCTCGAGACGCCATTGACAGCAGTGCCACCTACATACTCCAAAGGCGGCATGTCGGAATCAGCAGCTTCTTGCCGCACATCAACAAAACTGCCATTGCTTGAGGATTCCATCTTGGACAAATTCTCAGGCTTGATAGACACGCACTGCCCCGAGTCCAGCTTCACAGCCAGCCTGCCTTGTCTTGACTGCTCAAAACTTTGCAAAGTGCCTTTCTGGCCGTTCAGCTCTTTCTTGGACAACCCTTGCAGCGTAACTCTGTCACCCTCGCGCAGAGGTACCTTAAGAGGAGCACTTGCACCCACATACTCCAGTGGAGGCATGTCATCCTCCTCGTCAGGCTTCAATGCGGGAGACCTGCTGGATGCAGCCGGTGTGTTGCCCACGTACTCTAATGGAGGCATGTCGTCCTCGTCATCAGCCTCTTGAAGACCGTTCTGCATCGTATTGTTGTCCGGCGAATGGCACTTGCTCGAGACGCCATTGACAGCAGTGCCACCTACATACTCCAAAGGCGGCATGTCGGAATCAGCAGCTTCTTGCCGCACATCAACAAAACTGCCATTGCTTGAGGATTCCATCTTGGACAAATTCTCAGGCTTGATAGACACGCACTGCCCCGAGTCCAGCTTCACAGCCAGCCTGCCTTGTTTTGACTGCTCAAAACTTTGCAAAGTGCCTTTCTGGCCGTTCAGCTCTTTCTTGGACAACCCTTGCAGCGTAACTCTGTCACCCTCGCGCAGAGGTACCTCAACAGGGGCACTTGCACCAACATACTCCAGTGGAGGCATGTCATCCTCCTCGTCAGACTTCAATGCGGGAGACCTGCTGGATGCAGCTGGCGTGTTGCCCACGTACTCTAACGGAGGCATGTCGTCCTCGTCATCAGCCTCTTGACGACCGCTTTGCGTGGTATTGTTGTCCGGCGAATGGCACTTGCTCGAGACGCCATTGACAGCAGTGCCACCTACATACTCCAAAGGCGGCATGTCGGAATCAGCAGCTTCTTGCCGCACATCAGCATGACTACCATTGCTTGAGGATTCCATCTTGGACAAATTCTCAGGCTTGATAGACACGCACTGCCCCGAGTCCAGCTTCACAGCCAGCCTGCCTTGCTTCGCTTGGTCAAAACTTTGCAAAGTGCCTTTCTGGCCGTTCAGCTCCTTCTTGGATAACCCTTTCAGCGCAACTCTGTCACCCTCGCGCAGAGGTACCTCAAGAGGGCTGCTTGCACCCACGTACTCCAGTGGAGGCATGTCATCCTCGTCGTCTGACTTCATTGCAGAATCTCTACCGGATCTGCGAGGACATAATATACCTATGCGAGACTATCGATACCCTGCCCTTGTCAACATGCACAGCCGTCTCTTTATGGTTTGCCACACACTCACGGACATGATGCCGAGAGACAAGCACACAGCAAGGAATCTGAAGCCAAGACGTTGGACGTTGTTAGCAGTTAGCATGTCTCGTCGTGCCAGATTATTTGTCCGATTTGCGTTTAAAGAAACTTGTGACTCCATGGGGCATCCGCACAGGCCCGACAGGCGTATCAAAGGCTGAAGGGTAAATAAGCACGCCAAAACATGCCGTCCAGATTCATTTGCTCTCTGCCTTGGGGGCGAATGACAAGTACTCTTCTCATTCTCTCAGCGGCACTGAGCATGTCCGGAAGGAAAACCCAACTCGATGGACAGATCATATCAGATCAGAGGTACCCACCAAAATACACTCACTAAAGCCAAACCGTCGTCGAGATGTCAATGCAAGCGCTACAGTGGGCGTGAGCGGAGCAAGAATGGCATTCACTTCGCATGCAGTTGCGGTGGGTAGCATGCCTGAATGCAGCCCTGACTGCTCAAAGCTCACTGCAGACAGCATCGAACTGCATGTATGCTCTGTGTTACGAAATTTGTAGAGTGCCACGCGCATCCGGGTGGGAAGCAGGAGGTGGGACGTGACGAACGAATCATGGAGCGCTCAGACGTGTGTCAACTGCTCCACCGTATGCACGTCAAAACGGCTCAGGGTCACTCTCGCTGCTCATGGATCCTATTGTGTATCACTCGATTGAGAAGTTTTGACAAGCTGACATGCGTTCAGTCGGCTAACTATCCGAAATGTACACATGCCACATCAACCCAACTTTGTTGAGCTGAAGCCATGGCCTACCTTGCTTTACAAAGCATCATGATATCATGCTGCGGAGTGAACCTTAGTACAAGTGCCATGCGAAATTCGGCTGCAGCATGCTGCAAACCCACAAGAAACCCTACAGCTTGTGACCTCTAGTATCTCGGCGCCGACAACAATGCCACCGTCTTCGCCCAAAACCTCACTCGTGGCATTGAAAACAAACGAAACGCATTTCTGTGCTGTCCAGCCGGGAGGCGTCCTTCAGCTGACACAAGTCATGCCTGCAGCATTTTCGCAGATCGGACAGACTCTGCATGAGTTCAGTTCTTGGCGCCAAAAGATGCCAAAAGCCCACCTTCCCTGATCGCGGCCACCTCGCGCAGTGTTTGCCTGCGGCCAGGGTCGACCCCCGAAGTCCGAAGTGCACGTGTCGGCGGCCCTGGCCTCCAAGACCGGAGAAGACTTCGCTCCTGCAAAGAGCCTGAACCTGACACATCTGACACTGACACTCGCGGCTCACTAGCGGCCCTAGCGCCCCTTACGTCGCACTGCGTCGCACGGACCTCTCTCGGCCCAAAAAGGACGGAAAGTTTGTCCGAGATGCGTGCCGGACATTGACATTCGGCATGGTACACACTAGATAAAGACCTCGAGCTGGTGTACCGTCATTACGCATCCCCGCTGGCCTGTCGAACACCTGAGGCAACCACTGCAGAATCCGGGCGCTTGGCGCAAGGGGCTCCCATCGGGAAAGAACTTCAAGCGGCAGTAAACTCCAGCGACCTGGACTTGAGTCACGTGCAACTCTGCCGACACTATCAGCTCTTCAGACCTCCATCTCACCAGTGACCAGAAGAGCTCCGGCAACCCCTGGTACACAGCTGATGCTCAATGCAGGCCTGCCCCCATACTGCACACAGAGACCGAAAGGCCTGGGTGCTTGGAACACCCTCACATGTCGTGTCCCCCGTTGTGCACGCTGCGCTGCAAGTATGATTTGCGGGCAAGTTTCATCCCGTTTCTTCGCACAAAACCTGCACCCTCTCCAGCACACCGTTTGCAGACCAAATTGGGGTCTGCTGTCGCAGATGATCACACAAGATGTCGGAGACTTCCGCCCTGACAAAACCGGCCCAAACTCCCTCCCAAAATAAAATCCAGGCCCGCCGAGCCTGCATGGCAAGACAAATCATTCCACCAGAAATTCTGCCCGGCCAATGGAGCAAAAATGCGGTATGGTGCTCCACACCGCAAATTGCTTCATGGAGTGTCCAAGAAGGCTTCCTGACTGCAAGGATGTATCAGGGCTGGGGACAGTAGAAATGCCGGAGCCCCTAAACCTTAAACCTAAACCCTACTGTAAAACCCTCCAAGGCACTGCGAGATTCGCGTCTGGGTAGTCGCAGGCACGTGATCATGACAGCTACAGCTACGAGTAGACATCAAGCTGAAGTCAAGAGGCGGCAGGATTGACCTCGCTGGGTATGTAGACTAGCTGCCCATCCTTTCATGCATATCTGTCGAGTGGATCTTGAGCTCAAGTCTCTAATTACAATGGTCATATATTGAAGGGAAATCAACCAATCTGGAGATGTTTCAAATTCGAACACACTACCAGTCCACAGCAGAGTCCCAAGGCCACGCATGCAACCCAGCCCACGCGACAAAGGCTTGGGGCGCGTAGCCTTCCGTCGATCTAATTGTCTTCAGGATCGAAAAAACAAAAAGTCAGACGAAAGCATGTTTCTGTTGCAGACAAAGAAACTGGAAGTCTTGGTCTGTAGCATGTCCAAGCACCCCAGCGTCGCAAGAGTCTGAGGTGCTCGCACCCTGGGCAATGACCTGTTTAATGTGCGGACGGCTACTGCCGCAGCCGAAACCCCTCCCACGCAGCCCCAAAAACCCTCCCCGGAAGCCCGCAAAACCCCTCCTCGAAGCGCCAGACCCTCCCCCGCTGCCGCCAAAACCCTCCCGGCAAAGCCCGTTATTGACGGTTTTCCTGTCACTGGTGCACTAGTGAAAAAAAGACTCGCTGCGCTTGTGCAGACTCAATAGACCGCTGGATGGGCAGCAACAGCATGCAAAAGGCCAAGGAAGATGTGCTTTCAGATGCTTTCATTGCTAACGGCTCTCAGCTTGGACTGATGCCTGGAGCTTCTCTCGCGGCCTACAAGGATGGTGCAGTGAAGCAGAGTGCAGTAAATGTTGAACGCCGACTGTCTGCCTGAAGGGACTTGGCAGTCAGCGCCCACTCCAACTGTCAGCACTCTGTACTCATGGAGGTGTTTCGCAGGTTGCCAGGAGCCTGGCCTTGTTGCCAACCACGGCTGGAAAACCCGACACCGTGGACCTCGTCGAACCTGCTACAAACAAATACACACACACACACATTGGCAGATGGAGACCGCGGATTAAAATAGAAAGGCAGGCATTCTGTCTGCGCGCAATGCAGGCCTCTGTCGTTCCTCTCCCCGGGAGTGTTAGAACGAGGCCTCACCTAATGAAAGAATCAGAAAAATCTCTGAAACTGTCTTCCGTGTTCTTCGACGTGTCTCCCTGCACCTGCCCATCAAGGCTGCGCCTTTGTTCTGGGCTTCTGGTCTTCCGACTGCTTCCTTAGAATTGCCCCAGTACATGATCCGAGGGCGGAATCGCGGTGCAACTGAGCCATCGACGAGGTGAGCGCGAACTTGCCATCGACGTAGTCAGCTTCACGGCGCTTCGCACAGCCTTGGGAGCTGAAGTCACCTCCTCCGTGATGAGCACGGCAGGTGGCTCTGACGTGCCAAAGAGGCCTCACGGAAGCTCGCAGAAATCGCTCAGAACAGCACGAAGCTTTGTGGAGCTATTCTCCAGGAATACTACGTAAATCTCGTGGTACATACGCAGCAGGACCGCATGACAGTGGCAAGGAGCAAAGCAATCGCACGACTTCAAACAACCCAAACTTGGACCCTGCCCAACGTAAAGAAAGAGAGGGCAAAATTCTGCGAACGCTGACACTTCGAGACTTCGAGCAATCAAAGCTGCATACAGCACGTGTTCGCCCCATGTCACTCCGCAAACGAAGTGCACTAGACGACAAGATCCGCAAGACCACGAGCCCATGCATGCCCTCGAAGCCTTTCCGAATCACAAGTTGTTTCTCTGGCTGACTCTATCACTGGCTGTTCGTAGAGCTAGCCGCTAGGTCTAATCCACTTTGCTCCAAACTCTCCTCTTTCTCTCTCATCCTGTCTCTCCAAAACGGCTCTAACAGCACAAAAAGAGCTGGCCTTCCAGCAACCCCGCACGAGATGCAGCACCCGTTTCCACCACTGTAGCCTCTGCATTTGTGTGGTTGCGGATTTCACGTCGTAAGGCCAATGGGCCTCTGCTGTAGGGTCTTGAGCAATGGAAAAGTCTCTCCGAAGCTGTACCACCTTGCATGTCTCAGCGACTGGCTCCGAACGTGTGTGCCAGTGCGGTTCTGAGACCTGTCTTCCCAATCCTTCCACATCACGGCGCAGAACCTCCATGAGGATTCGATCCTGCAAGCCGGTTTGTCACTCACCGTTTCGGCTCAAGTCTTGGAGTCATGGTCACCATGTTCTTGTCTTTGCTTTCATCACCTCCACTGAGACACCGTCCGGAGCGAGGAGTCTGTTGCTCAGCTTGGCTGCAGCTTCTCTTGTCCAGAGAGCGAGAGCATCACGCTTCGCGTGAAACGGAGTGAAACACCACGTCAATGACGTCTACTCAAGCTTGAACAAGCTTGGGATGCCAGCACGGCCACCTTCACAGGGCCCCGGTCGAAAAGCTGACTCCCATCGGGCGATAAAACCTGCAAGCCACAGCTACTTGCGAAACTGGCGGCAGGGATCTCATGCAAATTTGCCGACTGAGCAAGGCACTGCGACTCAATCAAAGGACGGTGCGCAAAAGGTGAGGATGAATAGGTTTTCCTGGCATCTGCCAAAGTCGCTTCTCGCCGCTACATCCCGGCTGATGACGAGAGAAAGCAGCTGCTGCCCTCTGTGCAGTGCCAAGAACCAAACATGGAGCAACCTTCATCTGTCTACTGCCAAGGCACGTTGCAGGCGCAGCCGTCCAACCAATCTCTTGTGCCGTCGTTAGTGCCCGGCCGTACCTTGCAAGACAAACGCTCAATCTGTCGAACGCTTACAGATCCTGGGTCAGAGAGCTCTGTGTACTCGTGATCAAGAACACATGTGACAACAAGCGCTTTTCGGGAGCTGGGACGAACTGTCCCATAAGTCGAGCAAGACGGGCAGAAATGAAACAGATACAAGCCAAGCGATTTCCCACAAAGCAACATTGCGCACCTTTCCACCGGACCACCTTTTTTTGCTTCTAATCTCAAATATGCGCCTTGGCAGGGCGTGCGCGCAAGAATCGACCCCGACTGATGGGACCGGACAGCTCCACTAAGCAAGGAACCTCGTCCCTGACCTGTCCAGGGCCAAGCACGGTACGAGCTGAACTTGCGGTGCTCGGGCGGGCCTTCTCCAGTAACACCAAATCGCAGCAGCTTCTGTGGATCTGCATCTACACCTCAAACGTTGTTGCAAATTTATATCGGCCAGCTCCACGTAAACTGCGTTTCGCAGCTTCCGAGCCGATGCTCAAGAATGCTCCCGTTCATAGCCGTGCCACGAGGCTTGTTGTCGTGCGGATGTGGGTTTGGGAAGTGTCCCAGCGACTGCTCAAGCCTCGGATGCCGGTCGTTACACCTCGCAGCACAGAAGGAAGTCTCTGTGTGCCAACAAGATGCTGGCTGAGCTGACACCTGACTCACAAGAGCTGTCAGAGTGAGATTGGATGGGAACCCTTGTCTGTGGACTGCAACAAAATCTCTGCTCAGTGGCGACCGCTCTTTCTTGGGCACGACAGTAGTCTTGACCTCTGTGCGAGTCTTCGATAGATGGCAGGGTTCGTACAAGCAACGAAGAGGCTGAGTTTGGTGCGATGCCCAGTGCTTCCTCTGCCGCTGCCTTTTTGGCCAGTTGCTCGTCGCGAATGCGTTTGAAGTGCCTCAAAAGTTGCAGGAGTTGAAGGCTGGCCGGATCTTTTATTCACCCTGTAGTGAAGGTGCTTGGTCTCTTTGTCAATAGTCTCCTTCAGCACCTGCGACAGCATGTAGTCCTGAGCGTCATGCCAGGACAAACCGCATGCTCAGGTGCAGATGTCTTTCTGCATCCGCGCATCCATCGCCATTGTGTCGGAGGTTGGATGAAGGTGCAAATGCACAGCTCAGCAGGGGCCCTACTTTCGTATTCTGGATTCTGGATACTATCAACTTCGAGCCCAAACCGAATGAGATGAATGTGCCGAGTGCTGAGGAAATGATGGAGGGGGCAGGTTCGGCAGCACAGCACAGCACAGATATCCTCGGCGTGTTCTTGCCGAACTCGATGAAATTCTGCGCTGAGCTCTGCTTGCGATGCTGGCCAAGCCTCTCAAGGCACCGGCAATGTGGAGGGGTGGCTGAGGAATAGCAGGCAGGCCTCCAGAGCAGAAAGTCTTCGCCAGGCAGCTGGCAGAGAATGGGCATCACTCAAACGGCCCAAGCCCAACACACTGAGGCTTCACGTTCTTGCCTGATCGATCCTCCTTGTTCTCTCTAAGAACTGAAGCGACCTGTGTCGAGATCTGCATGCGGCGTCCCGGGCATCCCTCGATCCCTCCGAGCTCGAGCCTCCCTGGACACATCTGCCCTCAAGGTGACAAACCGCTCTTCCAGCCCTCGGACCACCACCTCCGTCACCTCAAAAGAAGCGAAGCCCACAGCAAAGCCGCACCACACAGTGCGGACAAAAGGGCTCCAGGAGCAACTTGCCTGCTCCTGCAAGTCGCTCACTTGGACCTTCAAAGCCAGCACTTCCCTTGCCTTCTCAGACTGCTCCTGCAGTCACTGCATGCACACAGCGACATGTAGTCGAATCTGTGTCGGACGTCCTCTCTGCCAGGGCCATTCTGGGTTGCCTGGACGGCTTCCAGGATTTCACCAAGCCTTTGTCTGTGAGCAGTGGTAACTCGAAACATGCGACCTGAGACTCTGGTGCAACCAGTGATCTTCTTCACCTCACTACGGACGGCAGTCAGCCCTTCTTGCATTGCTTTCATAGCCTTCATGTGCCTGGCTCTTGCACTGGCCGAACTGGTCAGCATAATGCTTCTGCCACTCAATGCGCCGGGAAGTCTGTTGAAAAAGCGACGGAATGTGTGTCGACCGTAAATCCTGAACTTCTTGTCGAATTGCCTCCCAAAGACTTACAGGCATTCTGGGGCTCCGATGTTCAACTGCTGCTTACTAAGACCTCATAAAGCAGCCACGCTGGACGGCCTCTGCTTCCTTTCGCCAGCTTTTCTGCATTTCAATCGCGCGGCTAGTCGCACTCTTACCGCTGGTATTCAAGGATCTGAAAACTTCGAACCTCCTGCTTCTCCTTCTGATCCAGGTCATGAAACCTCCCGAACAATCATGCGAAAATGGCAAGATCCACTACTCGAGGCCCATGCCTAGCATCAATTTCACGTAAGTTTTCCTGCGATTGCTGCAAATCTTGGCGACGCTGCTGTACCAACCTGTCCAAGGTTCCACCACTTTCCGTGAGCTTCGGCTACTGAAGAATCTGTGACGAGAACTCAGGCCCAAGCGCATCGACCTGAGTTGTAGTCAATGGCAATGACGATGATCATCACTGATCTTTGTAGACCGAAACCGTGCAGCCCTCAATCTTCGAAGTCTGAGGCACCATTTTTTCGAGCTGGACACATCTTTGCCGATCTGCCTGAACAAACTTCGGTGAAGGTCATCTGCGTGGCCGAAGACAATGCCAGGCCAGGCCTCTGTTGTGCTTTCAGCTGCTTTGACCACAGCAAGATCCTCCTGCACAAACGCGACTTGACTGAACTACGTGCCGAGGACATCCGAAAGCACCTAGCGCCAAGCGTGCCTCCAGTGACCCGTCGTGAATCCGTTTCCCGTCCACGTGCATATCTCGAATACAGAGAGGCTGCAGCACACCCTCGGATGTGCTCTTTCTTGGTGCTTCCCTTGGCTCTTTACAGTGCGTCCGTCTCAACGAAGGCGAGACAGTGAAGTTTGCTACACCAGCTTGCATATCTAACTGCCCTTTTCGCACCAGCATCTCTCGAATACTTGAAACTAGAGCGGACGAAAGCAATCGGGAGAAAAATGGCAGCTGTGCATTGCAAAATCGAAGATTTGTTGGTAAGTGAATGTGATTGATGCAGTGCTCCTTGCATGCTGTGCTGCCAAGGCTCGTAAAACTTACACTTAAGTCTGCGCTGAACGACGCATGGCAAAGCTCGTTCCTCAATGCAAACCAGAATAACAAAATTGAAACTATTGGTTACCCTCGGGTGTCTTTCTTGACTTGGTGCTTGCTTTCTTTCGTTGTGTATTGAATAATTTGTGTTTGTTCTTTCTGTCTTTCATTTTTGTCCGTCTTTGTTTCTTTAGTTGCTTACTTGGTTCTGTCATTGTTTCGTTGTTTATGCCGTCATTTCTTTGTTTGTGTCGCTATTTGTTTTTGTCGTCCACTGTTCTCTGCTTATGTCGTTCTTTCGCTCGTTCGTCCTTACTTTTATAGATGTACTTATTTATGTGACTCTTTGTTTCTGTGATTATTCACTCTTGTCTTTCGTTCGTTCGCGTTTTTCTGTCGTTGTTTACGTCGTTATTGTGTCGTTGTTTCTTGAAGTCACGAGCTGACATTCCGCAGGAGGGAGCGGTGAGGACTGGAGAAGGTCCGACCACAACGCCGCCGTCAGGTCACACGACGTGCCCGCCCACCACAGCGTCGGGTGGTGGAGGCGTACGGCGGCTTCGGGCCATCATGGGCCAAACACCCGGCGCATTCAGGGGCATCGCCCGCCGGCATCATGTGATTCCACCTATATTGGCATGCGCTTCCGCGCCTGGGTCTGGATTTTAAATGATTTTAGCGGGACAGCGGACTTTTAGAAGCGAGTCCTGGCCATTTCGCCAACGACGCCGGCTGTTGTGACGAGGCGATGGGCCCAGACAGCCGAAGCCGTCGAAGGCCCGGGCACCCGGCGAAGCGTCATACAGGGTCATGGTGGCAGCAAGGGACGGCGTCTGCCTCCATCTCCAAACGACGGCGCGGCCACCATCAGCGAAGCGCTGGAGCAGGATGAGCTGGCACCGCACGTCACGAACAGACACTGGGACCACGGGCGGCTCTTACGGCACTTCTCGCGCTGCTGGCGAATATCAACCGGGCAGTCTGCGCGACTGCTATTTACGTGGACTCCTTCTACCGGCCCGGGATGTGAAGAAGAAGGTAAGCCATCTTCTGAGCAGGAACGCCGGCCCTTTACGGAACAGCTAGGTGGTCCGGATCAGCGCGGGCTTGCAAGTCACGGACTGTGGATAGCGGTCAACGGCATGCTGGAGGACCAGAAGACGGCAGTCAACGACCCTACTGGACCCGCCGGCGTCCCCGGCGCTGACGAACCCGTCGCGATATTAGAGACCTTTCGCCAGAAAATCCTTTATGAATCCAGGCGATCGCCTCGACGCAGAATGGGCACGGAATGTAACCAAATCTCAAACTGAACAATGCAGGCATGCCGATCACATGCATGAGTGCGACCCTCATGTCGCAGACCTACCTCCCCGTTGATATGCGGACCATTGCGGACCTTGGAATGCTGGCTCGAGATATCCAAGGGCTAGTCTCGTGAAAATGGGGACTGCCCTATCAAATAGTTCCGCGAGATGCTGCAAGCCGAAAATGACATTCCGCTTAAGACTCGAAGCCACCCCAGGCTGCAGGAGACATGTGTTGAATGGAAGGAACCTGGGCAGCGTGCTGGCACAAGCAAACTGGAGTGGAGACAAAAACGTGCCTTTGACACGGAGAGTTCGTTGCGGAACTGCTGAGCAAGCATGCAGCTCTGAGACGACGCAGAACATGCCGACACGAAGGCACTTCTGTGTCGATCTTTGACGTATAGTTTTCCCGGTTATGACACCCAACGACCCAAGAAATGCAGATGTATGCCGCGGACTTGATGTGTCGCTTGATCTGGAGAGTCTCCTCCAGTCGAGAACACCGGCTTGCCTGAAGCTGCACGGACTTGTCAACCTCGCACAACACACAACTTACACAAAAACACCGCGGCTCCAAACAGCGGTCCCTGACCTCTGGCCTCTTCGGTGAATTTCCGGACGAGGCTATCAACATCCTCGACTTTCAGGATCTGCAAATCTGCCACCTGCATTGTAAATGACAATGACAAAACTTCAGACTTTTCCGCTCTATGATATGTGAACTTCAGCTTGTGAGTTGCGCTTTATGCCAAAAGCCACCTCGTGATCAGGTGATGCCTGTGTTACAAGCAAGCAGTAAGCAGTAGGAGCACGATGTCGAACTCGGCCAGATTTGGAAACCTTTATAGACTAGCGGGATTTGCAGACACCGACGATTTTCTAAAGACTCGTAGCGTGGCAGGCGATTTCGAAAAGATCTGAGTACCAAATGAGCATGGGACATCATGGGACCGTGCCGGAAGTGCGATCCTTCAACTTTGCAGTAGAGACGTATCGGATTTGCAGTGAATTCGGCGTCCCGCGGGATTGACTCAAAACGAAGCCAAAAAGGCTACAATGCTGTCTGGCGAATGAAGTACCATCCCAAGTTCCCGAGCAAGCTGTCGTCGGGGAAGACCTACAGCGCACGAGCTCCCCGCATCTTGCAGCTGCGACCCTTGAACATTGCCGGGTGAGGACACCCCTGGCCAGTGAATTTCCGAATTGGATCCTCCGAGTTCGCAAGTTTCTTCGCCGTGTTGTTGCCTTTTCTTTGTCGTCCTCGTTTGTCTGCAGCTCACTGCTAGCATGGTCCTGGTCATTAACCGAGGTCTTATCGTCGTCGTTCCCGGCATGTCCTGCGGCCGGTCATGCGTACCTGGTTTCCCGTCGCGGCCACAGATAGGAGGAGCGCACTTTACATCTGAGCGTTGCATGCACCTGCTTTCGAGGATGTCCGGCTGCCTGCCTGCAGCAGATAAGCGACCACGCTGAAGGTAACCGATTGTGTCATGGCGACCTCTACGCTACACCAACCGGTTTGCCTGCTGCAATGCTCACGCATGCCGGTTGGAACTGGCCAACGTCTGGAACACTGCCGTTTGCTCATCGGATTCCGTAAGGCTTCAAGAAATTTACCCGATGCGCTTCTCGCGGTTGCCTCGATAGGTGCATGTTCAAGTTCAAATTCTATCTCGGCTTGGCCACACCAGAATGGTGCAAACGTGGACGTCTGCCAGACGTGAAGCTCTGGTCCATCGGCAAATACCGCTGGAGTCTTCCACATCCTGACTGCATGCGGATGCCTCTCTTACGGTCGCTGGCACAGCTGTGCTGTAGTCTGACGTTCTCAAGTCAAGTGATTCGGAATGCAGACCAGCATTGCTAAAGCGAGCGAGTGAAAATAACTCGTTGAAACGACGCTCGAGTTGTTCTCGCGGGTTCTGCCGGGACTTGGCAATGATCGACGGCCACATGGCCACACGGGATGTGTTCATCAGAGACCCCTGTTTCATCTTGTCAAGCAGAGGAGTGCATCCGTGCTTCTAGACTCTAAAGTAGACAGGCGAAGCTCCCCATGGGCGTAGAGCTCACGCATCGAAGGTGCCAAGCTTTGGCGGGACTACAATTCAGAACGTCATCGCACTTCTGAGCTTCGAGGCAGAGGAACATGGGCGAACAAGACACCACAAGCCGGGCCAGCCTCCAGCTGCAGCTTCTCAACTCGCTCGCTCAAGCAGTCAGCTTCTGCCTATGCATGTTTCCCACGTGCATGTGTCGTGAAGAAGTTTACATGCATAGCCAGCGTAAACATATACACCTAGCAACAAAATGAAGAAATAGGCGCCCAACAAGACCCTCGTGCAAAGCCTGCTGTAGCTCTGGTGACATATGCAAGCTTGCAATCCCCTGCCTGTGTTGTTTCAGAATTTTGTTTTGGTGACACTAACGGATAGGTGAGGGTAGCAGGTCCCAACAAAAGGCCTGGAAAGCTTTCGAAAGGCGCATTCAAGAGCGGCTACTCTGTTAATCATGTCGCTAACAGTGTGAAAGTGGCACTGAAGGCCGCTAAACCCTTGCAGGCAAAAGCCTCGCACAATCCCTTTTCACCTTCAGGCTCGGGTGCCCTAAGGAAAGATGCTTCAGTCAGCACTGCGGATCTCACATGTGAACAATGGACATGCATTGCATGACATGTGAAAACTAACTAACACCAGTCATACTCCTAGCCTGAAATGCTGCAATAGACAGTTTTCCTGTACGGCTTCAGGGCTTTCAGAGCCCCACGGAAGCAGCTGCTCAGCAGCAAGATGCTGCAAGACTCTCACGAAGTGTTCTGACATCTCTTGGGCAATCCGCTCGTGCTCCCTCTTGTCCAACCTGCAACCAGCTACAGAGGACGGGTCGCACAAGGCGCCATTCTTGGCGCTGGGAAAGGAGTTGCAAGAAAACCACGATCATCTCGGCGCCAGCCTCTCATCGAAGGGACAGTGACCTCACAGCCCGCTCTGTAGCTCCTCAAACCGTGCAAAGCAGAGGTGTTCCGAACCATTGTGTCGAAAATTCTCATGGGACTCGAAGAGGAGTCACGCCATAAATTTCAATCCACATGGCATCGATCAAGAAAACGAGGTCCTCTCCGATCGTGATCGCCAGGACCTCTGATGACACCACGTTCAAAGGCACACACTCGCCAGACAGCACCCTCTAAAGAGCTGGAGCGCCAGCAACACCAAAGCGTTCCTTTTGGCCTATTGCATTGGGCCGCATCAACCCAAACCACGGCAGTCAGCTCTTTCCAGGAACGTCAGGACTCAGGACCTGCTCGGCGTTGCGGCGAGCTTCTTGTACAAGCTTGTTGGCTCGCGAAAGGTGCCCACCTTGGCTCTCCGCTCAGTAGGAACCCCACCTCTGCCGACGTCTGTGTAGAGCGCCAGGTCAAAGTTCCCAGCACAGCTCGAAGAGTGTTCACCTCCTTGGGTTTCAACGGGCTGTTCTTCTGAGCAGCCGGGCCTTTGGAATCTTGGCCTCCTCGATCCACTTTCCGATATAGGTCTCCTGGCCGAGGACGATGGTTCCATCCTCTCGCACCCGGCAAACTCAAATTTGCCCGATTCCCTGCATCCCCACGTAAACGCTTTTTCCAGAGCTTCTCGAGCCACCAAGCAGGTCAATGATTGGCGGTCGCCGGCAATCAAGAAGTCATCGACATGAACACCGGCTATGCCACAGAGGCGGTTGTCCTTGTCGAAGAGCACGTGGCAGCAGCGGTCCAAGGATAAAGCCTGCCACCCCTGCTTCTCCAGCACTTGGGTGACCGTCTGATGCCACCGCCGCGGGCTTGTTACCAAGCCGTAGAAACGCCAAGGACCTTTAGCACGGTCTTCCGTCCGTCGCCGTCAAACGCTGCTCCCGACTCAGCCGGGGCAAAGACGTGCAAGTCATCCTTCTCAAGGTCGGACAAAGCTTGGAGGAAAGCACTGGTAACATCGGTGGACTCCAGCATCCACTTGTTGTTCGCAAGGTGAAAGAGTTCGTGAAAAGCTCTGCGTCGTCAAACAAGTTCGCCGACTGGTAGCCCAGCATCACCAGTCTCGCTGGCAATTCCAGTGGTTAAAACCCACCGCATCTTCATGACCCGGTCATAGGAGATGTCCTTCAGCTCACTCGACGTCAAAGATCGCTGCGCCGCCGTCTTGATGACTCCCCCTTTCGTTTCTGGGTGAGCTCCTTCCAATTGTGCTCCCGGCTTTTCTCCTGAAGCCGCTTCTCATCCACACTTGTGCTCTCCGAAGCTTCGAGGTTAAAACGCCTCATTGACGTCAGGAGGCGGTGGCAAAGGCGAAGGTTTTCGCTTGGCCCTCGGTTGGCCACAGCCAGGGGCCAAGTGCCAGTGCCAGCGTGCCCTGCCACTCATATCCTACATGAGCTGGCGCAAACACTGCCAGATTCAAAAATTGTTGAAGATTTGCTGAACAAGACCAGATAGCAGGGGGGCCACCCGAAAAAGGCGGAAGCTTTGCCGCATGGCTCCATGCCACCGAGGTACATGAAGATTGTAGGTGGCAAAACCTGGAATACGATAGACACACTGGAGAGAGCATGGTTGCTGCAGTATAATGACGAAGAATTGGCTAAGAGCAGCATTCCTCTCGCGCATGAAAGCTCAGCAGCCTTGCAGCGCCAATCTTTTGAGGAACGCCTTGAACGACATACTACATGTCCCTCGGGGCAGACACGTGGGCTGCTCTCGTCCATCATCTTTCAAGCTCAGACCCCGAAGAGCTGATCTCCTCTGTTTCGTCACCGGAGTCCTCCACGGGGATCTTGGTATCGGTGCGCCGGTCATTGGCAAATGGACTCCCACCAGCATCTCGATGAGGTAGTTGGCGCCCTTCAGGTAGTGCGCAACCTTGTACGGGGCTGCAGCAGGTGCAGGTTCAGGAGGACCACCACGGGGAGCGTCAGGCGCCAGCTTCCCAAAAACGTCAGGAGTACCAGGCATCGCAGAAATCGGAGTCGGAGGGACAGGTGTTCCTGGAATTGCTTTCTTGGAAACGACCCTGCAGGTCTACTGGACCTAGATGGTGCTCGGGCTCACGACCACGACCCTGAGTCGACGGTTCTTGTGCACCTGGCGGCGGTGGTTCTTCATGAAGTACTGCAGGCCTACTGGACCTAGATGGTGCTCGGGCTGACGACCACAACCCTGAGTCGACGGTTCTTGTGCACCTGGCTCTATTGACCTCGCTGGACCCGTTGGCTGTAAAGCAGGATCACGCACTTGCTGCACATTACCAGATACGCGCACCTCGCACTCCGGACAGCTGGTCCTTGGGCACCGGCAAAGCCTGCCTCTTCGTGCGAGAGCTCGTGGCTTCACAAGAAATCGACTCCACGGCTCTTTTATTTCGCATCGGTCTTCTCCAAAGCGCCGAGGACGATGGGCAGCACGAACTTCTCCTTGTTCGGTGTCTTCTTGGGCTCCGCCGGGGGACTGTCTCCAGCCAAGTCTTCATGGAACCGGCCACGAAAGCCCCGCAACAACGCCTCCATCGTCAGTGGCATCTTGTAGACAGAGGCACCGCTCACTGGCCGTCAGCTCTTCAGTGCGGCTGCAGGGCCGGACCTTCCGTCTCACTTTGCTTGGCAGCTTTTCACTGGCCTGAACGCGCACCGGAACACTTTCAACAGGGCCTCCACGGCTCACTAGAAGCGGTGAAGCCTGTGTTGGGCTGCACCGTGGGGTTGCGAGCGTGGACCGCCAGGCGAAAGGCGTCGCCGGGCATTTGATGTCACGGACTTCGAGGCATCATCCAGTCAGCCTCGGCTGGACCAGGTGTCCCACGCCGAAACAAACGAGGAAGTAGTTGAATTTCTCGGACACATAAGAAAGCGCCGGATCGGTAACCATCCACGTTGGCTGGGGATAGTACTGGAGCCAGGTCCGGAAAAAGCAGCAAAATGCAGCGATTCATCTGGCTTGAGCTGGGCTCCCAACGGTCAGACTACTTCTGCATGATAGGCGGCTGCAGTTCCAGAGGCCCTGTCGTGCCACACACAGCGCTTGATCTTTATCGGCCTCGCAACGTTGTCGGCGCGGCAAAACTCAAAGACACCGGAGCCGACAGAGAGCCGGCGGCTCCTTCGTTGAAGAGGGCAGCGTCGCCAAGAGCAGATGGAACTCCAGGCAATCGGGGCACTTGAGCGACTTTGCCATCTCCTCCGCCCAGGTAGGTGCTCCCGTCGTTCAAGGAACCAGAGGCGTGGCCCGACGCACGGAGCACCCTCATCATCATTTGTCGAATTTGTTCAAAGGCTTCGCCGGTCGGGGGCTTCCCAAGAAACCGTCGCCTTGACAAAGCACGTGCATCGGCCTCCACAACATCCTTCTCGGGCGCCGGCTGGTTGGAACCACTCTTGTTACACCGAGCGTCTCCTCCACATCCTCAGCCATCGCCATCATTTGATGGCAGTTTCGAAGGGAACTCGCGACGGCCTGTGAGATGCGAACCACCATGGCGAGGGGAAGGTCCCCTGAAAAGGCTCATCATCAAGGCCAACATCCATCGCCTCTTCAAAGTCCAGGTGTTTCCACACCATCCTGCTTCCATCCTTCATTTAAGCACAGCCATCAATTAGAAGTCGCGGCGGTTCACGTGGTTCAGTCCTTCTTGAAGCCGGCTCTTGAACGACGTTTCGTCACACTTCGTCTCGCCGGCAGCTCCCACACAAAGTCGTGGCTTTGCGCGAAGGTCCTCCCAGCTGAAGGGAAAGCAAACCGCTGCCGCAGGCAAACCACATGACCTTGGGGTCGCAGGTCTCGGCCTGTTGCGCTTTAGGGCGGCCCTGCCAGCGGAGGAACGAACATCAAGTAAAGGATCTCTCGCGGAGCGAACCCTTCGTTGTCATAGCAATCGAGGCGCCTCTAGTCCACGAAGCTGTCCTTCGGGTGGATCGTCACCTCCAAGAAGTCAAGGTTTCCACGAAGCGCCGGCAGCAAAGAACCAAGGGCAGCATGGGTCGGCGACGCCCGGTCAGCTCCAGGTCGCCGTCGCGGTGTCGTCGGAGTACTCCACGCGCAGCTCAGGGCCGTTAGGAGCATCGGCGAGGCGGTTATTGGCCCTTGCGCCCGGTCTTCGGCTCGTAAGCGAGCCTGAGCCCACATGTCCAAGAGGCGTGTTGGTTTACTTCGCCCCTGCCGGGTAGATGTTGGCCGTTGACAGGCCGTTGCCCGTTGCATGGCCGGGCCGGCTGCCTTGGATCGCTTTCGGAGGAGGCATTGGCACAGCCAAAGTTCATCAGCTTAAGCCTCACTTGCTTCAGCGAGGCGCGAATGTCACAAGCAAGGGGTTCCGCTGCAGCAGTGCAAATTTCGGGACACGGGGCAAAAACTGCACGCTCTCTCTTCATTCGGCTGGCAAAAGCTCCCATCACGATCACTGGTAGGAAGCGCACAAGGACATGTCACACGACTGCAAGGATCATGGAAAAAACATGTCGTTCACAGCCCGGGTGGTCCATTTTCATTTTCTCGGCTTGCGAAGAGTGCGAGGTGGGCGCTCCTGCCGAGGATGACCTCGAACTTCGGCCGAAAATATCGCATGAACAAGCTTTCGGCTTTAAAACAAAACCGAACTCATCTGTCACAAAGGCGTGCAATTCACCCAAAGAGACAGAGGGCTCAGCGAGGTCCACAGCCAACGTTCTTTGTCGGGCGCAGAGGGTGCGCCGAGATAACCTTGCAGGCCGGATCATGAGAGGCCGTCTAGCTCAGGATGGCCTCGATCGACCGAAGAACCCGGCCGCCCAGCAGCAGCGGGGTGTCTTGCGCAAGTGAAAATTCATTAGGCTCGGGGTCGTCCAGGATGTAAAAGGAAAGCCAGCCCATCACCACCTTCATAGAGCAAGCGTAGCCAAACTTGAAGCTGGGGCGGTCCTGCGAAGAAACCTCAAACGGACAGCCCAGTATCCGAATGACCTGGTCAAGCGATCGAATCCCACAAGCACTTTCGGTCGCCCCGGTGTCCACAATCACCTGTGAGCCCATTCATCACCAAATCAACCACGAATGTCCTCGGCCCCGGCTTCCTCGGAGGCTTGCCTATGGACTTGCCCGGCTTTCCTTTTGCCGGAAGCCTTGGCACCAGGAGCGGGTGCGAAGCGCAGAGGGCAATCCGCAGAACGATTGCCCACCAGGCCGCACACGAAAGGCCCCTTCCTTCGACACTTGCGTGTCTGCTTGCCACCGCCACCGTCCGCGCTCTCCCGGGCCTTAATGGCTTAGCGCTGCCGGAAGGGCCGGTTCCGAAGTAAGTCAGCGTCAGTGCTTGCTGACGCTCTGGGTAATTACCCAAGGAGGCCCAGCCGGTAGCCGAGAGGCCTCGCCTTCCGACTAGCTGGCCGCGTGGCACGACCTCCAGGGATCCTCCCGTCGCACTGGCTCGTGGCGACCAGCATCCTTGGACTCGGTGGCTTCATCGGCTTCAGTCAGGGGCATCGTCGGGGAACTGGTAGTTCCAAGTCCTTTGCCCTTGCCTTTCCAGATCAGGCCATCCGGCCCAAAGCTAATGTTGTCCTGAGGAAAGCGGCAAAGACCGACCACCGCTCCAGTCGGGAGAAACTGTCCGGGATGCGCAGCTTCTGCAGCAGGCTGTTTCGCAAAACATCCAGCAAGCGCGCCAGCAAACTCCTCAGGAGAGAAATTGTTCACAACTCCGCTTGCTGGGCCGGTCAACGTGTTCCACACCTGGGCCGCAGCAAGGTGCCGTTCGTTTTATTTTAACAAAGGCCGTAGTAGCACAACTTGCAGGCAAGCAGCGACAAAGCGCTCAAAGGAATTCGGGTCGCCATCCCAGGCAGGAATCTCAGACCCGTAGGTATTCTGTGCCATCTTGTTCCCAAGGGCACAAAGGGAGAAAGCCCCAGAACCCAGCAGCAGCACCAACTTCCACCAGCGCGCCGGCCAAAGCCCCTTGGGAAAAAAGGCGGCATGTCCCAAGCCCACTGGATCACTCCAGGTGAGCTCCGCCTACCATGAACGCAGCCCCGAAGGCCGCTAAACCCTTGCGGGCAAAAGCCTTTTCGCCTTCAGGCTGCTCGAATGCTCGAGCTCCCGTGCCCTGCGGAAAGAAGCTTCAGTCAGCACTGCACCTCTTACATATGAACAATGGACATGCATGACATGTGAGAACTAGCACCGCGCAAACCGCGTATGCTCGAGTGGCATGAGTGGCCTGGCCTTGCTTTCCCGCTGCTGCTTTTGAGGCTCGCCTTCAGGTGTCGCCGTTCGGTCCACATCCCAACACAGTTCATGAAGGCTGCCTCTTCTCGCATGGCAGTGGGCACAAATATAAGCACCAAGCCACAAGGCATCGCACTCGACAATCGACACACACACACACGCCCTCGATGCATCGCAAGAATCCAGGTTGAACCCCACATGCTACCCCTTGTCTCCTGGGCGCCGCAAGAACCCACGATGTCGCGATGCTAAACACGAGGGAACTGCGCGTGGCATGGAAGCACCTTTGGACAACTCCCTCCACAGCTGCTGCACCTGGAAATTCGGAGAGCTTGGGAGCTTTTGCGAAATGTGAGGCCTCAGGCCCCGATCAAAAAGCCTCGTCTTCCACTCTCGCCAGAGAGTCCTTGCAAATGGTCACTAGTGTGTTGTTTGGGGGGCGAAATCACAGCTGCAGATGTTGGTTGGCAGGAGAGTCCTGAGAATGCTGCGCCAATGTCGTACTCCGCAAGGCCCAAGCCTGAACGGTAGTCGTAAGCTGCCAAGTGAGCGCAAGAGCATGCCATGGATTCTCATGCCTCCTCCAAGACTTCTAGGCGAGCCTGCCCAGATGCCAATCCAAGGTCCATGTGCAGTCACTCTGCGTTTCCCGGCCGATTGGGTTTTTGGCACTAGGCCCAGGCTTCGCAGACTTGCTCGGGAAACCATGCACCCGGATCAAAAACCAACCTGGCCCGGGACAACCCGAGCAAGTGTCCCAGATGAGCAGCAAAGCTCCGCCCTGACCCTTCACCTGTATCATCCTGTATCCAGGGGCTTTCGAGTGCCTAGCTCCCCCAAGTTTGAAGCCCGGCCGGACCCTCAGCGAAGACAAGAGACAGCGAGAACATGAACTATCGCGAACGCGCGCGGCACGACATTCTGAACGTGTGGTCCTATATGCACATCCAGCAACCACGTCTCGAATGAACATAAAGATAAAGATGAGCGAATGTGCTAGTCGGACTGCGAGCAAGAGCTTCTTCGTGCTTCCTTTCTGAGAACTCATCCCGCGGTCATCCCAACATCAGCTTCTGCGATTTGGAGCTCTTTGCCGTAGCTGCTTCCTCCCCTTCTCCCGCATCCTCATCTAACCCATGTTGTTGGTGAGAGATCAAGGCCGGAGTTTCTTGATTTAACATGCATGCATGCGCGCACACACACACACACACACGCACACACTATTGTCGCATATTCATTTACACAAGATTACAGAAGAAACATCAAGAAACCACAGTCAGATATGGCGAATGCAATGCTGCAGGAACTGCAAAGTTCACACGGAAAAAGCCGCGAATTTCACAGCTCCTCCTCTGGACCCTGGCCTTGAGACGACCCGTCTCCTCAGTTGGCCCGTCGCTTCGACCTCTCGGAGTGGAGACTCCCTCGGGGCAAAACGCGGCTTGCGCAAACCAAACTGCAAGCATCCGCAAGCTGGCAGCACTCACGCGACTCGGCCACGAACACCGCGGTCGAAGGACAGCACCAGCACAGAGCAAGCCTGGGATCTACACGAGCCAACTACTAACAACATCCATGCTTAAGCCGATTTTGTTCAAGCCTCAACTTCGTCATGCGTTCGTTGAAGGCCCTCCTCAAGTTAGGTGATGTCAATCACGTCGACGCTCAATCCGCGACTGCAGCCTCGAGCTGCTGAACTCGATCTTGTAATGAGGCCAGACGCTCATCATGCACCTGCCGGATTGCACCACTTGCGCTTAAAAGGATGAGCCAGCGCGTGAACAAGCCGCCTGCCCGGATTCCATTTTGCCGCTTCATGTCACACTGTTAATTGAATGTATCGTGAACTGCAACTTATAGTCGTGCTGTGGCCTCAACACAGGAAACACTGAGCATGTCGTCTTCGAAGCTTTGATGGCAAGCTCTGCAGCAGCTTCAACTTCGAACGTTGTAGGATTCAAATGACACATGGAGCTGAAGACAAGCTGAAAGAGCACTGGACTTGTTTCACAATCTCGTCCCGCGCATCGTCTGCAGGACTCGCGGCATCTCCTGCGCAAAGCTTTCTAGCTGCCACCACACCTGCTAAGGCTCCGGCCGGCAGCACAAACGTCGTTGCTACTGGGCATGTCCAAACACACCTTCGCTGCTCGGCACCGTCGTCTGGAAGCCACGCACACAGCATGTGCAGTGCTGTCTCAAGGGCTGCTGCCAGCACATGCTGGAATGCCCGCACGGCTCTGAATAATTGTTTATTGTGTCTTGTCTCAGGCTTCCCACCTGCACTTCTTCAAGGCTTCGAGCTTCCACCCATCGTTAACTGTCAGGTCTTTGGGCTTCCCACCCATCACTTCCAGATGGGGCTTTCGTTTTCCGATCCTTCATTTCCTCTCGGGTTTCGGCTTCCCGCCCGGCAATTCTCCTACATGGGGTTTGTGGTTGTGTTGCATTTTGGGATGGCACCGGTCTGCAAGAAACGCTGTCACGCCACGAATGTTGGGGTTGCGCATGCCTTGTGCTGCATCTTCCGGCCTCTTAACCTGGCGCAATTTCATTTCAGCACAAATACACAAGGTGTTTCGTGGCCTGCACGGTAGGAGGCCCGGCCACTAGAACCACACGAATAAGCAAGCTCGCGCAGGCTTGAGACGCAACACGCGTCCTGTGGTTGTGCAACTGGTACTCTTGCATATCTGCCCAGCCAGAGATCCTGAACCGGAGCCAACTGGCATCAACTGGCAAGTTACCCTGTTGCGAATCAACCGGACCATGCCATCCATCCTTGGCATACACCTCCGTGACCCATCGAATGCTTTGTGCAGACCATGCCAACTCTTCGATCTTGCGCGCTCCCTGCGAAGCAAGGAATCGATGAAGGTTCAAGCTTGAATGTCCCAGACGAGGTACGAACATTGACTTTATGCATGGGCGGCATGGTATAAGACAAGCAAACGCAGTGGTCGCGCTTCTTTCCTTCGGTGGGAACGATAGTCGTTCTGCGGCCCGTGCGTGAATGGCATGCTTTAGCCAGCCAGGGGTGATACTGACTCTTGCTCCGGTCAACGTCGCGGAACACAAAGAGGCAAACATGGGGACTCTTCATCACCACAGCAAGGGAGGAAGGGGTTGCAAACCCAACCTTCCACCCTTCAGGGTGCTTATTAAACCAGGTGATGTGCTTCTGTTGAACATGCTTTTGGTACATATTCAGAAGATACCAGGACTCTCCTTTGTGAACGAACATATCAGCATCGCCTTGCTTCTACGCTGAAGAAATCCCTCGGTGAAAGCCTTGGCCCCACGAAATGCATCCATTCTGCAGACCGCCAAGCTGAAGCGCTGGCTTTGGATTGCATACTCCTGCTCGTCAACTTGTGACGAGACTCGGCTGAGTAATCGATTGTTTCCAAAACGATCACCCAAGGCGGACAGTGTGCTGAAAAGAAACGCTCGAACAACCATCCTGTACTGGTGCAGGGTGGTGCAGCCACTTTCGCTTCTTGGATCAGTTTCAGACAAGCTTTGCAAGCTTATGATCCTCCGCACAGAACCTCGATCAGTCGGGCCCCAAGTTGCCGCACCTTCTCGGCGAGAACATCTGGAAGTCCCTGAAGTTACGAAAGAGCAACGCATGTCCGAAATACCATTCCGGGCTCGTACCCTTCGGGTATGGCAACTTCGTATCGTGCACCAAGGTACTCCACCACGAGAGACTGACCAGGAGTCATGCCTTCCGGTACCTGTATGTCCAAATCCTGCGACGATGTTTCGGTCTTTGAGCAGTTCTGTCGACGAACTTCTGCAAAGCAAGTCTGGAGGAAAGCACCGTAGTCCTTACGTTTGCAAAGATCCGTGTGGAATGTTTCGGATGCTCATGTGGGTGGTTGTCAAAATTAGGGTCCCTTTTGGGGTACCCTAAATAATAGGTGCCGTATTATAATAAGGACCCAAAAAGGGCCCCTAATTTTGACAACCACCCATGTATACCTTTTCGCGAAAAAACGGAGACAGTAGACTTGACATCGTTGGAGACAGGCTGCCAGCGAGGCTGTGATGGCTTGCAAGAACGGGTACAAGCCTTCCGTGTCATCCTCGTCAGCTTAAGCTTAAGCATAGATTCCGCAGCGACTCGACAGACTTTGAGCGGAATGCATTGACGAACTCCAAGGCTCTTGCTCCCTCCATCCCCTGCCTTGGACTTCTGCTACAATTTAGCCTTCAACTCCCACGAAGAGCCTCATGCACGAAGGTTTGTCAACCCTAGCAGGAGGCTAAAATGCGCTGAGCAGCCGGTCATGTTGTCGCCTATTGACTCTAAAATGAACGGGCACTTCGACCCGGTCGGCTCCTCGAAGATCTCAGCATTGACACGAAGCCACTCACAGAAGGATGTGAATTCGGCGGCATCGATTTCCATGGAATGCAGGACATTATGCAAATGCGCTTCGAACAATTCCTTGTACTCCTGGTGATACTGCGTCCATACCAGTGGATGTGAGCCATCTTCACAGGTCACTGTGAAAAAGGGAGCCCTCTGAGCAACGAACCTCGACGAGCAGGAAATGGGCTTGGTCCCTTGGTCCCTGAACGCTGAAGAGTCTGCCACTGTAGCCAAGACACTGTTGCACCACCAGCTGAAACTCCCCGTGGTGAAATTCTCTCAGAACCGGTTCCAAGCTTGAACCTCCAGGAGCCAAGGCACTCAGCCTCGGACAGGCCAAGACTCCTAAGAACATACGAAGGAAGGGACGTGCCAAAGCACCTCTCCAACAGCTGCTCTGCGTCAGTCATTGTGGTTGCTGCGAGCTCCACCGGCAACGTCCGGCTCCGACATTTGAAACACGTAAAAACCACTCCATGTTTGGAAACTAGTGTAGTTTTAGCTGCTGCAAGAAGAACTCCGACTTGCATGGATTCCCTTGCGATGGCCCGTCTTGCATCGAGCACGTGACCGCCGCCCTCCAAGCCGATAGCTGCACCAATGAAAACATCGCGACTTCCAGCACAATGCTTGCAGAAACCCTAGCGGCCCTGGCCACCTTCGAGGTATGAGTTTGCGGGATGTCTTGAAGGACTCGGCACCAAAGCCACCTCCATCCAGTGCTTTGAGGCAGCTACCAAGGCCAGGACGGAACGAGCCTGCCGCAGAGAAGGCGCTGGACCTTGTGATGGCACACAGAACCACTGTTCCAAGACACTGCTTCTGCACTTTGGTCTGTTTGGCTTCCTGCAAGAGCCAAATCCGAGGCAAGGCCTTAAAGCTTGTTGCACGAAGGATAGATTGCACATAGCAGGAATGTCTTGCAGCCGTGCGACGCTCAAGCCGCAGGACAACAACCTCTGCAAACACAGCGCCGTTCATACCAGCCAAACGCGACTCTCTGGACCTGCTGCGCATTCGGTAGCGCAATGGCTTGAGACGCCAAAGGGTCTGCCAGCAGGCACGAACCGCATGCTCGCCTGAGAGGGCCAACTGGAGTGAGTCGAAACTCAGATACTTGCAATAACATACCCGTCGGGTTATCAAGTTGGGGGGTGCCGAAAGACATAAAGTCGAGGCTGGATCCGTGCTACCATGGCTACAGTCGGCTACAGTGCTTCGACTGAAGCAAGAAATCATCCTGGCATCTAGCAAGCTCCCGGATGGGATCTGTCAGATCAACGAGGAACAGGGATCCAGGCATAGCATCACTTCGACCATATTGCTCGGCCGCATGCCTCCAACAGGTACTGGTAATGCAGAAATGGGGCTAATGAGGCAGCAACCAGCTTTGCCAAGACATAATGAGGATCGGACGCAAACTCTTCAATGGGCAGCCCGGCTCGGGCAAGAATTTTGTGAACAGGACGGAGGTGATACTCCTTTCACGAATCAGGCTCTGCACGACACCTGTCGGACGCTCCGTGGCATCTGAGGGCTCAGCATCTGACATGGACCATTCATGGCTGCTGAAATTGCGACTGTACGCCTTGGACTGTGATGTCTCGACATGTCTCGATCATGGCGTCACACCGCTTGACAAGTTGAACGAGCTGCTTGTTGCAGGCAAATGGAGCTTCGCAGAGCTTGCGCCGGCAGACGCTTCGGCTGCACGTTTCGGCTAGGAATACTACATTTCAGGATGGCGCGAAGGTGCTTTGGGTGCTCGGGAGGAAATGTCGGGACCCATGCCGTCTTTGGTGTGCCACTTTCCGACTCGTTGAGCCAACAAGTTATTTGTGCTTCCTCTTGTCCTATTTCTTTGCGACCATCATGCTGTTTGTGACTCGGTGCCATAGGCTGTCTCATCTTCGCCTGGACAGATCTGAAGTTCCGTAAGGGTTTCTTGTCAAGAAGTCAAACCTGCTTGACTTGCGGCTCTTCTGGCTGCTGCATGGTGCTTCGATTCCGGCTCTTCCGCTGTGACACGTTCTTGTTCCTTGTGGGATGTCTTGCTGCTTCTTCCCCTTGTTGGGCTTCATACCGGCACTACATCTGATAGCACACTCCTGCCTGTCTGTTGCCCTTAGCCGTGTCCTCCCCCTGCATTATCGTAGGCGCGAAGAAGTTCCTGAAGTCACCATCTGTACAGTTCAATACTGTCCTTGATGTTGGACAATGGTGGCTGGAACACTTCGACCGTGGTTCTATGCAGAATGGATGTTTTTCTTGCTGGCTCGCTTATGCTCGCCAATGGCATCCTGTTACTTCGGAGAATCCAGTTTGCATGTCATTGGATGTCTTGCGCTTAGGAAAGCTGCAGTTTCGTCAGCTCGCGATGAAGTTGAGGAGACAATGCTTGTGCATCCGGCTTGTTGCACAAGAAACACAGCCTGTAAGCTTCATCCCCCTCGATTTTGATTAGAGAACCGCAACCCGTTCGGGCAATGGCGCTGTAGACTATTCCGGGCACTGACATGTGATCAGTTGCAAAGCTTGGGATCTGCTGCGGTACGTGGATTGAGTCCACAAAGACGTCAAGAACATCGAACCGTCCTGCCTCTCTCGCGCTTCTTTCACCTTTCTGCTGATGGCGTGTTGAAGCTGAAATCTGCGTGGGACCACTGCGGGACCAACTTTCTCTAGTTGTGGCGGTCAACCTCTGCTGTCGTTGTTCTCGTGCTCGTGCCATTTCCTTCAACATGTTTGCTGCATGGCTGGTGTCATCTGCTTCACCTGCTCACAGTCAGCTGATGCTGCAATGTGTGATACTAATGTTTTGGCTGTTTTGTTCGAGGAGGACTAACGTCCTGCTTTAAGTCTGGGTTCTTTCCGACAGGACCTCCATAAACATTTTGAGCTCGTGACAATTTTCAGTGATCAGAAGAGAACTGCTCGATTGAAGGCTTCCGCTGACACAGACCCTGTTTTTGGCAGGTCGACGGACCGCAATGAACGTGCGACTGCTTCTCTTTTTGTCCCATGATACTGCAGTCATTCTGAAGCCGTGAGAGCTCTGAATTGCCCGTTCGAACCCTACAGTAGAATCATGTAGAATCCGAAACATGATCGTCAACTAACTACAAAACACACAAGCCAGTTGCAAATACTCTTGTATATCCCTTGATCGTTCTATTCTTCAGTCTACGCACATAACTCCACAATGTTCGACGTTCTCTTCGAGGCTCAATCGCGAGTATGTGTGTATAAGGTGGGGACACAACTTGTCGGGATACACTTTCCCAACCTGGGACATCACGTCCACTAAACTTATCGTGATTTGTTCCTTCGGCAAAGTGGTTTTCCTGACACGCATTACCATGTCAGGAAAACGACCAAGCAACCGATGTAGAAGGACCAACTGTCGCGCGTGTAACATGCCAGAAAGCCCAGACGAAATCTATTTTTGAGATAGTACCAGAGCCGTCCGAAGAAGTGAGATGCATCAACTCGAATTCAGAAGAGCCTGGGTCAAGCAACGGGAAACACGAGGTGTTCCATCCACATTCGTTTTTTATTTGGTGTGGAAATCTGCACAGGTTTGAAGTCATGACATGGATATAATATTGCGTCTTCCCAAATCACACTCTCCCACAACCACTCTGATTGACAACTTGATCTGGAGTTGAAGTGGGCTTTGGTGCCGTTGTTCCCACATGCCGCTGACTGCCCACACGCCAGCTCCGCCGTTGCACTGACAACCTGTCATACTCGGTCCAAGTAGGGCATGCCAGAGCACCTAAAGTTCATGCCGGGGAGGTTTGCTGGGCCTTCGCCACCACCAGCAACGAAATGAGGTACCATGAGGCACATAAGAAGTGTCAACAAAAAGTCTGTCAACAACGGCTGTTGTCTTCTTCTCTTTCGCACGCTGTCGCGCTGGACTCTCGAACTGTCGTTGCTGGATGCTAGCTGCAGCCGAAACTGAGCACAACTCGCAAGAGGGCACGATTCCACGTCTCAACATTGTGGAGGCCCACCGCCACCAACCTGACACTGCCACCCTTATCGGATCGTGAATCCCGTGGCAAGCCTGCAAATTGCGGCCTGGAAAGTCAGACCATTTCCCGCCCCGACTGACCTCGAGCAATGCACGATGCACAGGCCAAGCTCTAAGAGGCCCACGCCTGGCTCCGGTGGAAATGAGACTTCAAGCGATCGAAAGGCGACCTCACACCCACTGCTACAGAGGCTTTCTGTCTTTGCTTCCCCGTAAGCCGAAGGCCGCATGACCACCAAGTGCAGCCTCTGGACCCCTGCCTAGGGGCAATTTCTATCATCTTGACGCGTGTAGATTGAAACAGATGCGCACCCTGCAGCAACGCAGGCAGAAGTGCCTTAGATGTCATCCTGACTGTGTCTACTGCCTGGGCTTAGAAATGCTCGAAGTCGCCTCTACGGCCTCTACGGCACTGGTCGAAACTAAGTGCTGGGCTGGACCCCCCAGACAGAGAAGTCCTTGTCCTCCAGGCGGCTTGCGGCTCGCAATGGCTAGCGGCTAGCAGCTGCTGATCGGGATCGCACTCGATGAAGTGATGCCTCTGGTTTCCACAAAGTCTTCGCGTTCTGAAGAGAATGGCCTTCCGATGTGCAACAAACAGCCGCGCTCATTGACACGAGTAGTTCCTGCCTGCAGCCGAGAGCCAACTGTCGACACCATCCAGAAGGCCCTGCATCACATTCCGCATGAGCAAAACTCAAACAGCAGCACAACCCTCAACTTGACTGCCAAAACCCCAATCTCGCGTGTTAGCTGCTGCAGCATCATTTGTATTTTCTTGATCTTCAAATCAAGCCATTCCCTCCATGATGGCGCGCCGCCCAGTTGGCGACGGAGGTGGAGCCAGCCCGAGGAACGGCCAGGATTGCCACGGGCACCCGGCGCGGGCACAAGAAAACCTGAAGCCCAGCATCCGACTTGCGGTTTCTGGTAACTGATCATGACAACAGGCACCTCCTGAGATGCTTTCAACTGGATTTCCAACCGATCTGCCTGGAACCGCATGAGAAATACAAACTGATCTGGCAACGAGATGTCGATAATCTGATACCAAGATCGAGAGGATTGCAGACATACCGTCTGTTGCCTATGCTGATCTGATCTGGTCGGTGCTTTGGCAGTGCTGCGTGTCGAGGTCTCGAGAGTAGTACCCGACTGATGTACGGAACATGTCCACAAAACTCAGCTTGTGTCTGTCAAGCTCACACCATTTCCCAGCATTTGTGGACATGCATGTCTCCATGGGCGAACACCGACGTGGGCGCATGCCCACCCTCGTTCCTCCAGAAACAAAACCAGACCCAGACCGAGACGAATGTTCAGAGCAAACATCTGGTGCTGTTTGCATCCTGCGTTGAAGAAAGCAGCTGCGCGACCCGTACAAGCAAGGCCGGTCTGCTTTCACAGCCATTGATTTCGATAAGCGCAAGTGTCTGCAAGTAAATGCGGCCTTCAGAAAGGAAGACCCGTGAAATCCTCCGCCTGAACATCAGCATCGGCGCTTCCTTCGTGCCTGGGCTGCGGTTGCTCCGACGCGCGAGGCATCTCGAGGCACTTGTCCACCACATCTGATACATTGCAACTTGTCTCAGCACAAGGCGCCTTTTTGTCTTCCCATCGTCCACTTCGCATACTTTTGGCAACTGCGGCTGATGCCAAGAAGGGACGTGCTGCCATGCTGCCTTGTGTGACCAAGCCTGGCATGCAAAATGATGTGCCAATTCAGCATCGTTGGATTTCAACTCGGATGGATCTTAGGCTCTGGTTCGACTGTATAGTGGATCTCTGTTGAGGAACTGGACGAACGTTGTCATGCTCTGGCTCAACTGGCACGGAAGTGAATTCTGGCTCACGGAAAACTCTGTCTCATCCTCTGGCAGCTTTCGCCGTTCCAAGACCTCTCGGCATGTCTCGCCCCTGTAGGCCCGGCTCTAGTGACATCACACAATTGACGCAAAGCCCATCCATCTATCCTGGCATACCACTTTGCGCAGTGAGTGCCGGATGATGATGATGATGATGTTTAGCGCCAGCCGCGGGACATCACCAAGCCTTGGCATTTCATTCGGCATCAAAGCGTACTCAGCCGACTTCACACCTAAATGCCTGTGAGACGGCGCTGTGCAAGGGATGGCCTGTACATCTGGCATCGTCTGCGACGTCCCTTGGAAAGATGGTCACTTTTTGGCTTGTTGAAGACCCTGCTCCCAGCATCGACGACGGCAATGCTTGTGGAGAAGTTCTGTCAGGAGCCTGGGCATAATGACATTGAATTCCAATGGAACGGCTTGTGTTTGATGCATATCTCCACCACCTGTTCTTCGATTCCAGCGACACACTGCACACTGCAGCCAATTTCTGCCCATGTGCGAGACCTCATGCGGATTCCCTAGCAGCTGCCGCATTGAAGTGCGGCAGACTTCTGGAGAGGCAAAAGCTAAGGAGCCACTCAAAATAACCACGGCTGCGCGGGCGGCTGCCCGAGACACGACTGCAACTCAGGGCTACCACCAAGCGCAACCCCGATCGGCACTATTGAGCCTGCCGGGGCTGAAGAAGCTTGGAAATCCGCAGGGCTCCACCAGAAACCTCAGAGCACGACAAGCAAGGTGCCTTTGCGCGCAGATCCTGAGACTTCACTCCCGCTCGCTGCTGGTGCTCGGCCCGGGACCCAAAGCCCCTTGGTTTCAGAGGGCCCACATGACAATAGCCGCTCCTCGCAATGAGGCGGAATGACCACGATATATGAGCTGCTGCCGTTGCACAGCAGAGGCTCCCTTCCGAGAAGTGTTCGCACTGGTGCAGCGCCCAGCGCAGCTGAAGACCGGCAGCTCTTCCCGGGCTTGCCAGCATCCGCAGCTGCGAGGCTCCGATGCTTCGCACGGCACCTCAAACGGAGCCCGTGGCTGCAAAGCGTTCCGTTCCCATGCGAGGAATTCCGATGAGCTCCTTGTGGCAGTTCGATGTCTCGCCACTGCGGTGCCGGTTTTGCTGCATCCTCCGATACGAAACCGCAAACGAGTCTCGAGTCTTCTGACTGCGCATTGAAGCTCTAGATGCGTCCAGGTGAGCGTACGCAGTCTGGTACCAATCCTGAAACATACATGTCCCGTGGTGTTTCCGTCATGTTTTCGGCCATGGCACACAAAGCTTACCCAAGCAATGGCACAACAGAAAACAACATTTCCCACGCATCATCGCAACTTCCCCGTGCAACTGAGCATCTCTTGCTCGCCATTCTCGAATGAGAAAAGAGCCCCAGGCCGAACTGACGGTGGGACCTGCTACCGACACGAGCTTCTCAGAAGTCAGCATTCGCGCGGCAGCGGAACAGATCCCTGTCCTGGTACTTTGGAAGTGTGCTCTTCTTGGGACTTCAGTTCGTGCAAGATCTGCAAAGCTGCCATAGACCTTCACAATAAAAATCTGCAGGCTGATGCTTGTCTGCCCTCCTGCAATTGACCAAGGCGAAGGTAACGATGAATCCTGCGATGGATATTGCCGAGGTCCGGGCGGCTTCATGAGCAAGATGCCAGCCTCTTCCGTACAGCTAATGCAGATCTTCCAACTTGTGACAAATGTTTCTCTGCAAAGCGCCTGGGTGAAGTCGTACCGTGCTAAGGGAGGCTGGAAGGATATTCTTACCGATACGACTCGGTCAAGATTTGTTTCAAGAAGCGGGTCGAGCAACTGTCCGAAAAGGTGAGGGGTGAAGTAGAGCTTTGTAACAGCTGTGACGCCCCCTGTACCCACTTTGTTCGGACACCAACTGGCAGCACTGGGGTAAAATCGTCGCTGCATTGCCCAGTGCTTGTGCACAGTCATTTTTGCCGCCCACAGGTCAAAAGCATGGTTGAGGATTCTTGTCAAGATCGAAGAAGAAGTGCTTCTTTGTTGGTACAGATGCCTTCCACATCTTTCCACCCCATGGGCCCCTGCCGCCCGAGAAAGCCTCTGGTCCTGGGAAGCTGAAGCCGGCACTGGCCAATGGCAGAATTTCACTTGACATTCACTGGTTCTTGCCTTGTGTCCGTTCATTCGTTCAACAAAGGCTGGCCATGTGGGCAATGCAGGATCGCCACATCATGCACCTCCAATCCTCCAAACTGGTGCAGCAGTTCTCTGGATTGCCTCCGGTTCTGCAGGGCTCAACAGTCCCGATCGTCACATAAGCACACCATGCCCAACATGCTGCTGTTCGCTGGCTAATCAACTTTGCCTGGCGTGGTAATCCCGGGCTTCGCGTTTAGGCTACAGCTGAAGCCTCGTGGTGTTTGTGTTAGTTTCTACTCACTGGGTTCGCTCAGGCATCACCGGAGACAGTCTTGGGTCACAAGTGCCTCGGGGACCAGAGGCCCATGTGCAATAAAGAGATCTGACTCACGCCCTAAAAAATGTTAGGCCGTGCAACCAGTCACCTGGCAACATGGGGCTGCACTTTTCTCACAATGCCCATCGGCAAGCTTGCTACAACGCCATGTGGTTGGGGAAGCCGACTGTTGACTGTCCAACGGATCTTCGGGGCCGCTTGGCCGGGTAGCACATAACAGCTGCAACAACAGCAACAGCAACAACAGAGTAATCCATTCCGGGCCGGGAGGTGAGGAAGGTATAGACAGAGAAGACTTGCTGCTTCAACGGTCTGACTGAAATTGTGCCTTTGCAAAGCTTTCACAAGCACATCATACCCGTGCAGCGACTGAACAAAACGTGACAGCATGGACAGCAAACCAAGCAGACCCTGCCTTGGGCACCAGCCATTTTACGTCTGCTCCTCGCGACTTGCTTGTTTCGCATGGGAGAAGGGCTGCACCTCCGCATGACACAGAAAACGACTTCTACTTCTGCTTGCATCGGAAAGCAAGGCCTGGCGAAAAGCCATCTTCCGTTACCCAAGCGATGTCCCAAGAAGATCGGCTACCTTCGACTTGGAGATGGGGAAGTTGGGGCGACACAGGCTCAATCATGGACTCACAGACCAGAGCCTGGAGTAGTTTCACGATGCAGCAACCATCGATCAAGGTCCCACAGCTGCGCTAAAGCGTCCTGCAACCAAGATTTGATAAACGACTTGGGCAGATTGGGGACTCCAGCATCCTCGCTGAACTGCACGTCCACGAAAACGACCTGTTCTGAGCGGAACGATCCTCGGGCACCGGCTAGGTGTACCGCACCAGACTTGGGCCGTTGTCACGCAGCCGCATGGCCCGCATCATCATGTCCTGGTGAAGCACAGCGATCGGGCAAGGCATCACTTCCTCACGGCTTGGGTCTTTCTGTCGTGTTCCAGCATGTTCCAGCCCAGCAGTATGTCTTTGTTTGTCGCACTGCCGGCATCTGTTCACAGGCAAAAACAGATGACTGCGTGTAGTTGTCTCTACTTGCTTTGATGATTTTTTGTTGTAAGTCTTACATAATGCATGTTGTCCGTGTGTCTTAATATGCCTCAAATTACGCACTGGTCTTGTGTGAATGTCTTTCGTCGGAGCCCCAAAACAAGAGGACCTAGAACTTCGAAGATGGGGAGTTCAGACTGATGGGGCGCCCTGATGTAAATGTAGAAATCAGCACTCCTACAGACCCTGAACTTCGTGGGGAGCCTCTGGTTGAAATTTTAATCAGAACTCCGAGGATGGGACGATGGGGCGCCCTTGATTTTAAAATCGGAACTTTCACAGACCCTGAACTCCAGGATGGTACCTTCGACTGATGGAGCGCCCGTGTTTGTAAAATGAGAACTTCTACACACCCTGAACTCCGAGGATGGAGCCCCGGACTGATGGGGCGCCACTTTTTCAGAATGAGAACCCCCACAAACCTTAAACTCCAAGGATGGAACCTTGGACCGACGGGGCGTCCCTGATTTCAAAAGCAGAACTTCTACAGACCCTGAACTCGGCAGAAAGGAACACTGTGGGGGCCCGTGTTTCTCGTATGGAGTAGTTTCATAATGTGTTGTACCGATCACATACTTTCATTTCTGTTCATACAGATAACTGACTCAGTTGTTAAACTAACGAAGCGCTCGAACTCGGAGAGTGGAACCTTGGACTGATGGGGCGCCCTTTGATTTCAAAATCAGAATGTTCACAAACCCTGAACTCGGAGGATGGAGCCTTGATGGGGCGTCATCATGGTAGGAAGCATAAACAGCGTCGGAGCGATTGGCTGTAGCGTGGATAGCATTGAGGTCGGGAGAAGGAGTTCATGAGCGTGATTGAGAGTGGTGAAGCTTCGTTTTCACGGTGCATCAGTCACTGTTCGCCGTTGGAGGTCTCGAAACGACTCTGTTGTGCCTATTCGATCTCGACGATGCCAAACTAAAAGCGGTAAGTGGATCACTCACGGACAAACTTTGGCTGCGACGGGAGGACGAGCAGTGCCATGTCACGGTGGAGTGCCACAGTCGTGTCAAAGTCGGAGCGACTGCGGCTGAAGCCCCTTATAGGGCCGTTTTGACATTGTTCACGCCGCGGCCCAAAAGCAAAACGGGCTAAGTGGGCGGGCACAAAAAGACAGCTTGCTTGAGCCGAGCTTTGGCCACGACGGATCAAGTACTGAACGGCAGAACTCTACGTCATGTCTAACCGTGAAGTTCTGCCTATTCGATGTCGACCATATCAGAACTACCAAGTGCATACCTTGGGCAGTGCCGGTCGGTTTCATTGGGGTGGAGCCGCGAAGCCCCCAGAAGCTGCGAAGCTGCGAGGCAAGGAGTGTGCAAAGGAGCATCAGATAGCGCCAGCACCTGACATGGAGCGCCAATTAACACTAAAGTGCGCCAAGAGCACCAGACTTCGCCAAAGAGCCTCAGAAAACGTCAAAGCGCGCCACGCAGTACCAAGGCGCACCAAAGAGCGCCAGCCCGAGTCGTAGAGCGCTAAAGAAGGCCATGCAGAAAGCGCCACGTGGAGTGTCAAACAACGCCCGGCAGCACCGACGCAAGTTTTGTCTGGCATATCCAAGTAAAAGCTGCCGCATCTTTTGTTTCAGTCCCAGGCCCCATCCTTGAAGTTCAGGATCTGTAGGAGTTTTGACTTTGAAGTCAATGGCGCCCCATCAGTGCGAAACCCCATCCTCGAAGTTCAGAATTTGATTTTGAAATCAGTGGCGCCCGACCAGTCCAAGGTTCCATCCTCGGAGATTAGGGTCTTTGTAAGTTATGACTTTAAAGTCAGGTGTGCCCCATCAGTGCAAGACCCCCACCCTCGGAGTTCTGGGTTTGTAGGAGTTCTGCTTTTGAAATCAGGGAAGCTTGAATCGCAGCAAGAGGCACAAGTTGCACGTGTGTCTTCCTCTGTCTTCGAGTCTTCGAAAACGGATTCGATACTGCTGGCCAGTATTATCACGTAATCGCCGCGGAACCGGGTACCCGCGAGGACGACAAAAACTTCCCCCCAAGGCGCGTGACGAACCGTGGAAGAGAGCAAAAGCGAGTCTCTCCTCGTAAAAGGCGAGAGACCAGTGAGCTGCATTGCCAAACTCTGCAGCTTTCTCAGCCGACATGACCTCAACCTGACGCCACAGCGGGGTTCGTGGAATACTGCACAACCCATCATGCCAAGAAGCAAATGGCAACTTTTGGAGCCGCTGCATTTCTCCGGGATGCCTGCAGTGCCAGGAAGAGCCCCTAGCAGGTAAGCACAAACCATTCGTTTGCCTTGTCGCTACAAAGACTCGCCTCGGGAAAAGACGATAACGACTACAGGCATGCTGTGCGGAACAGAAATCAATCACAAATAATCCTCAGCCACCGACTGCCTGCTCAGGAACGGAGATCGCGAGGCCTGCATGTTGCAACGACGACACTTTGGTGGTGTCTCGCACTTCTGGGATCGCACAAGGACATCTCCCTTGTGTCGAGCAAGAACGAAATGACATACTGCCGAGCGAGGCACTCGTTTCATTGAAAGGGTGCAGAAACCACGGCCCGGGACTTGGACAGCTGTTCATTCCAAGTGTTGCTAGGATTTTAAGTACTCAAGGCATTGCCAGCACCAAATGGCCCAGACCTGGTGGACTGGGTGTGGCTAAGCACCCCTGCAAACATCCGCGATAAACCAGACTGCATATGTACACTGTATGCTGGATTGTCAGGAAGCCATGATTGAACATCCAGGTTGTATAGTCTAGCAGTCTAGCAGGTCTAACTGCTTTTGACATTTCTCCGCCGCGCAAGATGCCCCTAGCAAAGTTTGCGACACATATATATATATATATATATAGACCAGAAACATGCAACTCGCGATGGCAATGAATGCCTGCTCTTAAGGCACATGGTGCATGCACTTGTGAACGTCTGCGTTTGCCGTGGACGGTGTCCAAAACTGCAAAGGATCGTCCGAACTTCCGCAGAGGAGCACTCTTCATACCCTACAATACGACCCCCCCTCTACCACACATGTATGCGTGAAAGAGCAGTCATCAAGGTGGTCTTGCTCAGTGCCACATGGAAGAAATGGTCCGAGAGAAGCCATGGCCTCTTCGATCAAGGGATCGCAGGAGAGCATGTTGACGAGCGGTTCATCTGCACAGCTGAAGACCACCCAGGCCTTGCCATGTGCCATTGCAAGGAGCCTCCTGTCGCAGCACTCTCAGCAGAGCACCTCACCTGACTCCAGCCGGTCGTCGAATCCACGGCTCGCGGCATCCACCAGCCATGTCGCCAAGATGGCTGCTGCATTCCTGAGGTGCCAGAGAAGCGACTTGCCCACCTATGCTTCATTTGCCGTGCTGCTGCGAACACTCACAAGTGCCTCGAAGGATCCGCTCACGAACAGGAGTTTGGCACTCATTCGCAGGCTGAAAAGAAGATCCCGCCTGAGCTCTTGTGCTTCCAACTGCTCTACGGAAACCGCTCTCTGCTGCCGATGTTCAAGCTCCTCCTGCAGGACCTTCCGGATTCATCTGAATGCATCCATGCTCGCTGCTCCTGGAGCAGAATCAACACACGTCTTGCTGAGTCGGGAAGCAGATCCGCAGCCTTGTCAATCTCCCGTGCAAAGGACTGCAAAGCCTTAGCCGGATTCCTCAGCTTTCAGCGCTTTCGACGTGGGTGGCCCTGTGTGATGCCAGATGATGGTGTGACCATGCAGTCGTAATGCAGCACGCAGGAGCCCGAACCGCCAAGCCACGGAAAGATTTGGCCACACCAGGCAGACCGCATTGACATCACAAGGACTCTTAGAAGCGAATCGAACTCCAAAGGGTCTTCGAAGCTATAAGTAGCTCTGGCGACCAGTCAAGGGTCTGCGGCGCGTCGGATATCAACTGCCTGGAGAAGGACTGAGATCCGCAGTGGCGACAATCAGCTGCTCTCGAGCACTGCATAAGGCTGCCAAGGTGCCGTGTGCGGGCCTTGATGCGAACGAGGCGGTGCCATCTCTCAACATGTCGACTCGCATGACCAAGCCTTCTGCCGAGTCCTGAGAGGCGTGAAGAAATCACTTGTCCACGGCAGCGCCCCTGCCGTATGCCCCGTAACTCGATGAAGCTCTTGAGGTGCCGTCTTCGACATGCACATCGACCGACACGACTTGGCACTTCCTTTGCTGCCTGGAGTAAGTCCTAAGTGAAATTGCCATCTGTGCACTGCATTCCATTGCTGCTTATTTAGGCAACCTACACACCACCTGCATCTTTGCCTCCAAGTCAAGGCGCGAAAGCTGCCCAGAAAAGCAAGCTACTCCACTTCGTCATCAGCATCTCCGACCACCAGTGATGTGACAGAAATCCTGCTGTCACATCGCAGACTTGATGATGTGCCTGCGCCCAGTCGAGTCAGTTTGGTTTGGAGCTGATGCAGCAGACTGCAAGCAAAATGGATAATGCCAGCAAAGGGGCAACAGAAAGCAAGCGAAGAACCAGTTGACCTGGCCGGCCTCAAGAATCGAGATGCAGCTCGTCACCTGTATGCGGAAAAACGACGAAACTATCGCCAAGGTCGGCGATTGAAGTGCTGCATCACATCGTGCCAGGGCATGGTCTTGATTCTCTAATTGCATCTGAGACACAACCGGAGACTTTAACTGTTTCAACCTCGAGAACAAGAAAACTAAACTCAGTTCGATTCAGAGCAAGACAGTCAAACCCACGGCAACTAGAGCAGAGAATGAAGCAAATGCCGTGCATCACTGCCCGGCCTGTTGACTTGCCCATTCTCGCAGGGTTTCGCTCGAGGTGATCGACTGCTTCCAGCTTCTGAATTTGCTGGTAGCACTTTTCCGCACGAACTCCCACTCGTCCCTGCAATAAGATCAGGGCGACTTTGAACTCCAGCGGTTTTAAAGGGCGCATTGAAAGGACTTTGCCTGCACAGTAGTTCGTCGCCGGCACTTGCAGTGTGAAGAGGAAATGCAAACGCAACACCCTCGGAAGAACAGAGCAGGCTCAGCTCATCAACCTCCATCAAGTCTTGCAGTCCAGAGCCCAGAGCTTGCGCGCATGCCACGGCAACTAGGGAAGACTGCATCGCTCATGACTTCTGGCTCCATGCTTGTTTGTGGCTTAGCAACACAGCACGTCACGTGGCTCATCACTTCTGGTCGTCATACAGTTTCCCCTCAAATTTTGCCAAAGTGTGGACAGCTAGCTGATGCTGCTCCTGACGAAAGCACCGCGGCACTAGTCACATGTCCACATCAGAGTGCATGACAATACTTGGATGCCAACATCCCAGGCCAATTTTTGCTGTGCCGCTTGCGCGACTGTGTGTCATGTTGCAACCGTTTTAGCTGCTCAGATCTAGGGAAAATTACATCCAAGAGCAGCCGCATGGAGCGGTGCACCGAAGAGCTGCAATGAATCGGACATGATCATAACTTGAAGTTAGCGACTTAGTTTCGCAGGGTTCAGGTCAAGCTTGAGCTCGCTTCTGTGCCGAAGAGAATGCAGCAGCTATCATTAACGCTTCATTCCGTTGCAGCTCCAGCAAGTATCCAGGGACTCAGACCAACTCAGATGAGGCCCACCATAGACGCAAGGAGGACTCCACCAAGCAAGAATCTGAAAAATGGCAGACAGTTGAAGGCCGCTCCACTGCGCAACTGAAGGCAATCACGCCGGCACCGCATCTTGCTTTTGCCCTCCGTAAGGTACATCACCCTCAGACTCTAGAGAAAACCAGCTTGTCCAACAGAAACATAAGCAGAACGGTGCAGAACCGAATGATCAGCCAAGTCGCGGGAGGACGAATAGTGCTTTGGACATGAGAAGCTGCCTTCTCTGTACTTCTGGGATACGCCCACAAGCTAACACTGGAGCACATGACTGAATGCTCAATAATGCGAAATTCTGAAATCGGCCAAGCAGCACTATGAAAGACATAACCGACATGAGGAACATGAAGCCCTTAGAAAGAAACTGGATTCGGAACAACCAAACTCCGGAAGGATGCACTCCACATGTGCATCAGATAGCGCAAGATTGCAGATGTGACATGCCATCTCAGCGCCATCTTGTTAAGCCGCTCTTCTTACAATGCAGAACCGAACGGGGTTAAGACCGTTCGTCTGGGTGCTCGGCAAAAACCACGACAATAGGAAGCATAGGACCTAATGCGCCGGCCTGGGCAGCTGGAGGTGCCAGGATGACAATCGGTCCCATGTAAAAGCTCGCACAAGACCATGGCCAACAGGCATGACCGGGATGGACAATGCTTCCAGCAAACACGAGCTTCTGACTAGACCGATCCGCAGACTTGGGTGTGCATGGCAGGTGTCGGTGCGGGCCGGGGAGCAGAAGCGGGGTGGGCAGCAGGAAGGAATTGGTGCAGCTAGGCTGGCGTACATGTGCCAGCTGGGAATCCGGCGACGGCTTGCAGGGGAGCGATCCAGGACGGCAAACTGTCAGTAGTACCTCCTGAGTCCTGCAAGTAAATTCTGGGGCCGTCTCACCCCTCGGCCAAATTACGGTCACGGCCGCCAAGCTCGCCTCCTCTTCTGACTCTTGTGCTCGGGTTCTTCTTCTCATACCTCTTCACAACATGATGCGCTAAATGAACATGCACGTAGCTAGAAACAACGTCTTGACTCAAGATGTAGAAGCTTAGTGTCTCAACACAAGTTACAAAGATTCAAGCCCTGGCCGATGGACGGCCTGGATGCGAAGTCGAAAAGGAAAAACCTCCTGGACCTTGCGAGACTTGGAGAATGATGTGACCACAAACAACTCACCACTGTGAAAAATCTCTGCATATAAGCCAGGACGGTAAACTTCCTCAACAGAGCGCAAGCTTGTACGACGTCATGTTTTGCCTCCGGAAGTGAAGACGAAAGTTCCAGGGCCGGTCCTGATGGACAGACCACTGGATATCGGCTGCTACAGGCTGTGCTGCAAAGCAACGTTTTCGGGTTTAGACAGACAGACGCGTTTGAGGCACCCGTGCCCGACCACTGAGTTTCCAACCTTACAAAGTTCCGCCCACCGCCAAATTCTGAGCGCATCCCAGGCATGCCGCCTGCGAAAAAGGCCTTTGCACGAACACTTCGTATTTGGCATCACAACATGCGCACGTGCTGTGGTCAAAGACAAGCAGCTTCAAAGATGTCTTCCGGCGAAAAACCCGGCGACGCCGAACCTCCGCCTGGGATACAAGGCTGCTGTAGCAGGGCACATTATGAGAATTCAGCGACAAGCGGAGGAGCTGCACGGCAACGTTCAGGCCAACACCTTTTACAGCATCCACTCCATATTGATCATATCTTTGCCTGCACACAAACCCATCACAAAGTTCTCAGCGACGAAACTCCAGCATACTGTCCGGCATATCGTGCAGCAATCAGACCTCTTCTCCGTGTCACTGAGCACGGAGAAAGCTTCGCCCACCCTTTTGAAAGCCTGTGGATCAATGCCATTCCCAAGGCCATGTTCCATCATGAAGTCTGAAAGTATGCTTTTGAACAAGCACACTAAAAACTAGAATTCAATCGTGACCTCCTCTGCCCCTTCGTCTTTGCATTTGTCAGGATGCAGCTGCAAAGCCAATTTCCGGTATGCCTCCGCTGAACATACATTGGATCGCTCGCTCTGCAACAATGTAGAACCTTCTTGATCTCGACATCATTGGCACTTTTTTCTATACCTGCCCCATCGTAGACACAAACTTTCGCAATTCACGAAATCTACGGTGTACTTGCCGGAGCAAGTGACCCAAGTGCCTAGAATACGGTAATAGTCATCTCCAGCGCCAGAGACTTTCTTGATGGCGGCAGCCGCCTCGCATCAAGCTCCAACTAACGGGACACGCCATGCTCGCAACAGAGCGAATGCGATATGTTTGCCTCAGTTGCCATAATGCTGTCCTACAAGTTCGATGTCTGAGCAGAAAAATTGATGTGGAAACACATGGTCCCGCGGCCTCCATCGCATGCTTAATGCGAGAACGACAAGATACAACGAGCTCCAGTTGTACCATCTCCTCAAATGTCGTACCGAAAAACGTCCGTCTTAGAAACGGAAAATAACGATCTCGGAATTTTCCGCAATGCTGCAAGTACAGCTTTGAGACACAATAACGAAACTGCAACCTTTGGTACATGTTGCATGCCAGTTCAGCAAAACAGTGATGTGCGACCGTGCGGCAGACATCCCGTGAGCTGGATTTTTGGATGACTTCCCCGAAACGAAAAGCCCCACGATGCAAACGTTTGTACGATCTGAAAAACAACCGGGGAAAACAAAGCTCCCGAAAATCATGAGACTGCGCATGTGAAACGGGAGGATGCAACGGGGCCACGACCTGAACAAGATGGAATTGTCATCAACGACACCATTAAATTTACTCAAATGTACATTGCTAAGGCCGTGCAGTGCGATACAACGCGTCGAATCCAGCTCCGCTAAGTGACATGGTGCAAAGCCATCAACGAACATGATTGTTGCATCTTGCAAACGATATGAAGGGACATCTGTATGTAGCGAACAAACCGTCATCGCTGTCTCGCCAATACCCCTTCCCTTTTGCGGAAAACTTATGCTTGGCCGTCTGTTCAGTTCAGACAAACAAGTTTTGCACTCGACATGCACACTGTTCCGCACTTTATGAGCCACCGCGTTTTTGAAATTTAATGGCCTATCGTAGCAAGAATCCTGAAATGTTCATAGTATTAAACAATATTCGCCATGCTAGTCTGACAGACCCTGCCCTCGCAGCAACAGGCAACAGCAGCAGCAGTGGTAGTCCAGAAAGGGCAATAGCCTGAGAGGAGTTCGAGCCATGAATTAAAAACATGTCCTCCACAACGAAACATCTTGATAGTTTGTGCGCATCTCGCTTAATGAACAACTCGAACTAACCGAAAAATCACCCAAAGGCATAGAATACAGCAATACAACAGAGTAATAATGTGACAGAGTGATAGGGCAATAGAGCAACACCGTATAAAGCAATAGTGTAATGAAGCAACAAGGTGAAAGAGTGGCAGAGCAATGAAAAGTGATAGGGCGAGAGCGTAGTAAAGTAGCGGAACCTTGACGTGATACAGAAACACTGCAGAGACATCGAGTCACGGAATAATAGTGAGTATCGTATTGGTAGAAAATAGTTTTGTAATATAGTAGTAGCTGGTAGCATTCATGCATTCCAGGGAAAAAGTCCATGCGCCGAGCATTGGGTTCAGAGCGTGACATGTCCTTGCCCGGATTCGACTCATGGTCTTTTATCTCCTAAAGCTTGAAGTAAAAATTTCATCCACTCAGCATTGTCCACATGGTTGTAAACGATGCAGCGCACTCTTCTTTTTCAACGAAGCCCTGAGAGTACGGGGGTCAGCATCATTACCCGAGTAATGTGCAAAGCGAACTGCAACCCTTGTTGCATGCACCACTTAGATGCACAGCCCATGCCAGTCCACGGTGGTCGGACGGGTGTGGAGGGTCAAAAGACCACCGTGCTCTTTGCTTGAAGCATGTAAAGCGGACCCCATGCGTGATACATGAGAGCATCGACATGAAAATCCTCATGGAAAGAAAGTTCAACATGAAAATTCTTTCACATTGTTCAAACAAAACTGTTGGAAAATTTTCACGCGTTTTATGCGCTTTCGCATAAACTTTCAAGCAAGGACATAAAAGCTTATCACACAAGTGTGAGAATGGCCTTTATCTCCTCAAGCTTGAAGTAAAAATTTGGTTCGAAGGCCGAACTCTACCACTGCGTTTTGCGCAGTTCAGGTCCGCCTCCTCCACGACATGACTATCA